GGCACACACCACCGTGCCCAGCTAATTTTTTGTAATTTTAGTAGAGACGGGGTTTCACCATGTTGACCAAGATGGTCTTGATCTGTTGACCTCGTGATCCACCCGCCTCGGCCTCCCAAAGTGCTGGGATTACAGGCTTGAGCCACCACGCCCAGCCAAAGGAAGCTTTTAAGAAATTATCCCAGTCACGGCACCAAAAAAAAAAAAAAAAAAAAAAAGAAATTATCCTATAGCTAGTCTCAACAAGTCAAAAAAAAATGTATCAAGATATAGGTTACAATATGTAGTAGCAAAAAACTGGAAGCAACACAAGTACTTCCCAACAGGGGAATTTAGAAAGAAGTTCAAAGTAAACTAATTGAAAAGTCAAGTTATAACAATACACACATGATCCCGAGTCCTTTTAAATATGCTTGAATTATATATGTGTGGTTGCCTTGAGGAATGGGACCTGGGGAGGACTAGTTTACTTTCTGTAGTTTCACTTTATTGCCATGAGTATGTATTATATTTGTAATTTTTTAAAAAACTAGTTAATTCAGATGCATTCAATTTTTAAACGAACACATGGCAAATAAGTTTTTGTTTGTTTGTTTTTGTTTTTTAAGTTGGGATTCTGCTAGGTTTTTAGCCTCTTCTCCTCTTAACTCTTACTTTCCCCATCCTCTAGGCTGGTTCAGCCGTCTCATGGCCTCACCTTATAAACCAGCCCTATAGCTCAGAACAACTCCAGGCAGCTTGACCACTTTCCTTCTCCTCATCATTCTCATCCTCTTAATTCTACCCCAAAAATATGAGTCACATCCCTTCTTTTTCTCTCTCATAGCCCTTGTTGTTCTCTCACCTGCAATATTTAAAAAGCCTTAAAACTGAGTCTCCTGTCTTGCCTCTTTATAGTGTACCCTCAGAGTCACCAGAGGTCTCTGAAAATCTTACTGTTGCCTACTAGTTGCAGAGTACAATCTTCAACCCTTACGTATTTATTATTAGTAAATATTTACTAACCACTCATAAAATGCCTGATACCATGTTAAACACATTGTACAGTCACTGAATAGCAGACCCAGCCCTGCTTGTTGAGGTTTCCGGTCTATGGATCCTTACATGACAAAGTCCTCTTCAGCCAGATTCATCTGTTCAGTCTCAGCTTTCCCCACTTTCCTCACCGCTCAAGATTCTTTCTTCTGTAGCCGCACTACACCATTTACTCTTCCAGATACATCCATGTGCCTCTTTTTTTTTTTTTCCCAGATGAAGTCATACTCTGTCTCCCAAGCTGGAGTGCAGCAGCCAGTCTTGGCTCACTGTAACCTCCGCCTCCTGGGTTCAAGTGATTCTTCTGCCTCAGCCTCCCAAGTAGCTGGGATTATAGGCATGTGCTACCACGCCCGGCTAATTTTTGTGTTTTTAGTAGAGACAGGGTTTCACCATGTTGGCCAGGCTGCTCTCAAACTCCTGACCTTGTGATCCGCCGCCCCACCTCGGCCTCCCAAAGTGCTGGGCTCACAGGCGTGCGCCACTGAACCCGGCCCATCCATGTGTCTTAAAGTGTAGTCTGTAGGTGTGAATCAGAATCTCTGGGCTCAGAGTTGAGAAAGGTGACTTTTTAACATGTGCACCCCCCCCCCAAGCAATTCTTACTGCTTATCCTCCATGAGCTTTCATATTAGCATAACATGGTTCATGTAGCTCCCTCTACCAGGACCTACTTCCTCCATCTACTGTCTCTTCTCCAAATTCCCTTGTTTACACAACAAACTCCTATTAATCTTTTAAGACTTTGCTCAAAGTCACCTGTCTTTTTTTTCTTTAACCTTTTTTGATCATTCTTCCTGTGCCTATGAAAATCCCAACTCTTGGCCAGGCGTGGAGGCTCATGCCTATAATCCCAGCACTTCGGGAGGCCGAGGCAGGTGGATCACGAGCTCAAGAGATTGAGACCGTCCTGGTCAACGTGGTGAAACCCCATCTCTACTAAAAATATAAAAATTAGCTGGGCGTGATGGCGTGAGCCTGTAGTCCCAGCTACTTGGGAGGCTGAGGCAAGAGAATGCTTGAACCCAGGAGGCGGAGGTTGCAGTGAGCTGAGATTGCGCCATTGCACTCCAGCCTGGGTGACAAGAGCAAAACTCTGTCTCAAAAAAAAAAAAAAAAAAAATCCCAACTCTTAACTGATTTAAAGAGTGAGATAATTTATCATCTTATATAAAAGAAAGTCCAGAGGTAGGACAGACATCAGGATTGATTGGTACAGGAGCTTGCAGTGTCATCCAGTACCAGATTCTTTTCTTCTTTCCACTTTACGATCTATAGTAAAACTTCATCTTCAAGCTGATAACAAATGGCTGCAGCAGTTCCCACGATAACATTCAGTCATCGCAGCGTTCAGAGGAACAGGAGGGAGTTTTTCTTAGGAAAAAACGGACATCTCACAGACCAGAATTTGGTACCATGTCTGTTTCTTTTTTTGTTGTTGTTGTTTTGAGACAGAGTCTCAGTCTGTTTGCACAGGCTAGAGTGCAGTGGTGCAATCTTGGCTCACTGCAACCTCCACCTCCTGGTTTCAAGCGATTCTCCTGCCTGAGCCTCCCGAGTAGCTGGGATTATAGGTACACGGCACCATGACTGGCTAATTTTTGTATTTTAGTAGAGACGGCATTCCACCATGTTGGCCAGTAAGACCTCTGGTGACTCTGAGGGTACACTATAAAAAGGCAAGATAGGAGACTTAGTTATAAGGTAATCCACCCACCTTAGGTAATCTACTCACTTTAGCCTCCCAAAGTGCTGAGATTACAGGCATGAGCCACCACGCCTAGCCCCATGTCCGCTTCTTTTTTTTTTTTTTTTTTTTTTGAGACAGAGTTTCGCTGTTGTTACCCAGGCTAGAGTGCAATGGCACGATCTCGGCTCACCGCAACCTCTGCCTCCTGGGTTCAAGCAATTCTCCTGCCTCAGCCTCCCGAGTAGCTGGGACTACAGGTGTGCACCACCATGCCCAGCTAATTTTTGTATTTTTAATAGAGACAGGGTTTCACCATGTTGACCAGGATGGTCTTGATCTCTTGACCTCGTGATCCGCCTGCCTCAGCCTCCCAAAGTGCTGGGATTATAGGTGTGAGCTCCTAGGCTCAAGCGACCCTCCTGCCTGGCCTCCCATGTCTATTCTAAGCCAGTCACTGGCAAAGGGCCTGGGATTCTCAGGATTATTTTAGACTAGTCATCTGGGGTGGAAGGGATGCTGGAAGTTAAGCACAGTGACCCTTATGTTTCCCAGTCCAAAACCTGTCCATTATTCTCCATGTCCAGTGCTGCCACCTTGTCCTTACCCTCATGACCTTATATTCTAGTGGTGTATATGTATGTGTATATAAGGACCATGAAGAAGATAACATGGGGAAATGAAATAGAGTGACACAAAGTTGGGTAATTGGTGGCAGGAAATCTGGAATCTCTTGATGAGGTGACATTTGAGCTTAGACCTGAGTGATCATGAGAAGCCAATCATGCAAATATGTAAAGCAGATTCATTCAGACAAGCTAGGAGGCCAAGGCAGGAGGGTCGCTTGAGCCTAGGAGTGTGAGGTTGTAGTGTGCCAAGATCATACCTGTGAATAGCCACTGCACCAGCTGGACAACAGAGTGAAACCCCATCTCTTAAAAATAAATTAGGGGCCAGGCACGGTGGCTCAAGCCTGTAATCCCAGCACTTTGGGAGGCCGAGGCAGGCGGATCATGAGGTCAAGAGATCGAGACCATCCTGGTCAACATGGTGAAACCCCGTCTCTACTAAAGATACAAAAAATTAGCTGGGCATGGTGGCGCGTGCCTGTAATCCCAGCTACTCAGGAGGCTGAGGCAGGAGAATTGCCTGAACCCAGGAGATAGAGGTTGCGGTGAGCCGAGATCACGCCATTGCACTCCAGCCTGGGTAACGAGAGTGAAACTCCGTCTCAAAAAATTATTATTTTTTTCTAAAGTCCTGACACAGAGAAAATGGCAGATGAAAAAGTCCTGAAATGGGAATATCTTTGATATGTTTATTGTCTGTCTCTTCCATGAAGTAAAAGCTCTATGAATAGAGGTACCTGGCCTATCTTGCTCACCTCTGTGTTCCCCAGGTCCTGTCTGGCACAGTGGAAAGATGGAATGAGTCCCTGGCATATTTTAGGTGTGCAGTAAATATTTATTGAATGAATAAATGAGTCTCCCACAAGCAGAATAGATTGTTCCTGCTTAAGAATTCTCATTGGCCAGACGCGGTGGCTGACACCTGTAATCCCAGCACTTTGGGAGGCCAAGGTGGGCGGATCACCTGAGGTCAGGAGTTCAAGACCAGCCTGTCCAACATGATGAAACCCCATCTCTACTAAAAATAAAAAAACTAGTTGAGCATGGTGGCAAGCACCTGTAATCGCAGCTACTTGGGGGGGCTGAGGCAAGAGAATCACTTGAACCCAGGAGGCGGAGGTTGCAGTGAGCTAAGATTGCCCCATTGCACTCCAGCCCAGGCAACAAGAGTGAAACTCCATCTCAAAAAAAAAGAGTTCCCATAGTACTTTATACTATACCAGAATTTGGACACTTGGACGTTGTATGGTTTGTGTACATCTCTGCCTTCCTCTGCTGCGAGCTGCTTAAAAACAGATAGGGGCCCACACATAATACATCTCAGTTTTCTCATTATCAACACAATAGTAATCTCATTGTTAGTCCTCTGGTGAATGTAGAATTGAACATTCAGCCTACATATTAAAAGGAACTTTCTGTGAAAATATACTTGTCTATGTAGTATGTTTTTCAAAGTCTTTTTTTTACCTAAAAATTCACAGCAATCTAGAACTCCCAGGAAAAAATTCTTAAGGAAAATTAGTGGTCTGTAGAAAAAAGAGTTTGCCATTGCATGATATGGCGTAAGCTCTTATGTTGTAGACTTGTGTTATATACTTAAGGCAAATTCTTATGGGACCAACAGTTGCGATCATAAGAATGTCACTTACCTGGGGCCAGTGCAATGGCTCACTCCTGTAATCCAAGCAAATTGGGAGGCCAAGGCAGGAGGATCACTTGAGGCCAGGAATTTGAGACCAGCCCGAGCAACACAGTGAGCCCCTGTCTCCACAAGAAATTTAAAAATTAGCCAAACACAGTGGCATATGCTTGTAGCCCCAGCTACCCAAGAGGCTGAGGTGGGAGCAGCTTGAGCCCAGAAGTTCAAGGTTACAGTAAGCTATGATCATGCCACTGCACTCCAGCCTGGGTAACAAAATGAAACCTGTCTCTTAGAAAAAGAATATTGCTTATCTAGAGACGTTCTTTTGTTTGTTTGTTTTTGAGATGGGGTCTCACTCTGTTGCCCAGGCTGGAGTGCAGTGGCATGATCAGCTGCTTTTTCATCTGCTGTTTCCTCAGCATCAGGACATTACGCCAAGGTTACATCTCTAAATATGCTTCATAACACAAACTGTATGTCTGCTGGAATTGCATATGTGCAGTTGCAATCCTAATACAATTACACTTATGAAATGGATACTTGATCCACAACAGATACCATTATTGTTTCCATATCTCCATATCTATTAATAATACCAAAAGCAATGTTTGTAAATGAAATCATATTGTTTACTTAATAAAAATATAAAGAACATTAGCTATTTGCTAGTGCCAAAAAGAAGTGTGGCAGTTGTAACTGTGCCCTGTCCCTTTAATGGAAAAAGCCAAGTCATTTTAAAATGAAATCCTTTCACCATCGATGCCAGACTTATATAACTGTTGTTTTTATAAAATAAAAAGAAATTTTAAAATGCTCATTAACAGCATGGGACAGTGAGTAGAAGAAAGCAGCTACTCAGTACACTACTCCATACATTCATCGTAACAGCACAAGAGAGTTCTGTCTTAGGGGTGTATTAGCATTGCTTTTAAACTTGAGTGAGACTGGCTGGGTGCTGTGGCTCACGCTGGTAATCCCAACACTTTGGGAAGCCAAGACAGGTGTATCAGCTGAGGTCAGGAGTTTAAGACCAACCTGGCCAATATGGTGAAACCATGTCTCTACTAAAAATACAAAAAAAGCATCTGGGCATGGTGGTGCACTCCTCTAGTCCCAGCTACTTGGGAGGCTGAGGCGGGAGAATTGCTTGAATCCAGGAGATGGAGGTTGTAGTGAGCTGAGATCAGACCACTGCACTCTAGCTGGGATGACAGAGCGAGACTCGGTCTCAATAAATAAATAAATATCTTTAGTGAGGTATTGGAGGAATATGAGCTTATAGAACATAGGTAATCCATTCCTATAAACTAAAATGGGATTTTATTTGTAGTTATGCCGTCCACAGTTCACATCTTGCCAAATTACGTGGCCTCGGGAGTGTTATGTCAGGTTTCTAAGCCTGTTTGCTCACCTGAAAATGAAACTAGTAATTCCTGCCTCATGTGGTCATTATGAGCATGACATAAAATAACACATGTATATAGCATTAGCATATAGCATTTCTGTGTAATCCAGCACATACAAAATAGTCCTTAGTTTGGTGGCGTGCCTTTTTCACTTAGCCATCTATCACAAACATTTTTCATTTTGGTAGATCTGTATCAGCATCATTTTAATGGCTATCTGATGCTAATTTCAAGCTGATATGTACTATAGTTCACCCTTGAGCAGCCTCTGGCACAGTTACTCTCTAGCATAGGCATTTCTGTAGGACTGTGCTGTTTCCAGTGGACTATGCTCCTCACTGCCTGGGTGCCTCTGATCCTTTTAGGTGTTAACGGTTTGAGGATGCTGGGGATTCTCCATGATGCAGTTGTGTTCCTGATTGAGCAGCTGTCTGGTGCCAAGCACTGTCGAAATTACAAATTCCGTTTCCACAAGCCAGAGGAGGCCAATGAACCCCCGTTGAACCCTCATGGCTCAGCCAGGGCTGAAGTCCACCTCAGGCAAGTTCCCTTCTTTTCTGTTAGCAGATTTGGGTCTCAATTTTATTATCTCCTGACACCGTTGTGTTCCCACATACTCCGAGATTTCTAGTGTTAATGCCTTTGTCCTTTATTGCTTTTTTTTGAGACGGAGTTTCGCTCTTGTTACCCAGACTGGAGTGCAATGGCACAATCTCGGCTCACCACAACCTCTACCTCCTGGGTTCAGGCAATTCTCCTGCCTCAGCCTCCTGAGTAGCTGGGATTACAGGCGCGTACCACCATGCCCAGCTAATTTTTGTATTTTTAGTAGAGACGGGGTTTCACCTTGTTGACCAGGATGGTCTCCATCTCTTGACCTCGTGATCCACCTGCCTCGGCCTCCCAAAGTGCTGGGATTACAGGTGTGAGCCACCACGCCCGGCCCCTTTACTGCTTTATTAAAGCGTTTCTCTAAATACATTTTAATATTTTGGCTCCAGGAAGTCAGCATTTGACATGTTTAACTTCCTGGCTTCTAAACATCGTCAGCCTCCTGAATACAACCCCAATGATGAAGAAGAGGAGGAGGTACAGCTGAAGTCAGCTCGGTAAGTCTTGAGTGGAGAGCAGTCATTAGAAACTGCTTTCCCTCCCCTCCAGCTAGTTAGGGCACTATGCAGGAATTTGTTTGCATCAGTATTTCCCAGATAAGATTTAAGAAGACTGGGCTGGGCGTGGTGGCTCACCAAGCGCTTTGGAGGCCAAGGTGGGCGGATCACCTGAGGTTGGGAGTTCAAGACCAGGGTGACCAACATGGTGGAACCCCGTCTTTAAAAAATAAATAAACAAATAAAATAAAGATTTAAGAAGACTGAAATCCATTTGTGTTGAAGTAGCAGTACGTGCCTGGTAAGGAATGAGGAATATAAGGTACAGAAGAGAAATTCAAAGAACCGTAAGAGGCCTGTTTTCTTTAATGATAGTATATTCTGTCAGCCTTGGTTGTCATCATGGTCAGAAAGTACTATATATACTGAAAATCGGCCTCATTTTATAAGGCACTTACTCAGTTTGACATTGAACAGAGTGTACTATTTTTCTCTAGGAACCTTTGATTCAAGACTCAAAACATTATTTCCTGAAGAAAATTTGTTAATAATATGTCTTGTCTCTTAGGAGGGCAACTAGCATGGATCTGCCAATGCCCATGCGTTTCCGGCACTTAAAAAAGACTTCTAAGGAGGCAGTTGGTGTCTACAGGTAAGGCTAAAATTATAGAAAATGAATGAAGTTTTCCAGAATCAAAGTGGACCAAATGCTGGACTGACTTTCCTCAGTAAGTGAGGATTTTATGGATACTAATTATTGACCCTCATATCCTGGGATCCTGCAACTCCTTGTGTTGAACAAGGACTTTAACACAGTAAGCATTAAAACATTGCTTCTTCCATTGGGCTACAGAATGGAGATACGTTTCATCTTAGCCATTTGTTAGAACAATATACACAAATCAAGTGGGTCCAAATTTTTATTTTCTCAGGTCCCTCCTGGGAGACTAAGACCAGGAGAACTTATTCATGTATTCGTGCAATTAACCTTACTTGCAAAATTTGTGTCTGACCTCTTTTCCATCTGTCCTAGGTCTCCCATCCATGGCCGGGGTCTTTTCTGTAAGAGAAACATTGATGCAGGTGAGATGGTGATTGAGTATGCTGGCAACGTCATCCGTTCCATCCAGACTGATAAGCGGGAAAAGTATTATGACAGCAAGGTAAGTCTCCCACTTGCATTCATCCAGTTCTTTTGTTTTGCTGTAGAAAGGGACCAGTGTGATCGCTGGATCCCAAAAGAAATAATCTATGTTATCAATTCAAAGACCTTAAAAAAAGAAAAAAACAGGCCGGGCACAGTGGCTCATGCCTGTAATCCCAGCACTTTGGGAGGCCAAGGCAGGCAGATCAACTGAGGTCAGGAGTTCGAGACCAGCCTGACTAACATCGTGAAACCCCGTCTGTACTAGAAATACAAAAATTAGCCACACCTGGCTAATTTTTGTATTTCTAGTAATCCCAGCTACTCGGGAGGCTAAGGCAGGAGGTTGCAGTGAACCGAAATCATACCACCACACTCCAGCCTGGGCAACAGAGCAAGACTCTGTTTCAAAAAAAAAAAAAAAAAAATCTGAAATTTGTGAGGGGCCCAGTAAAAGTAGAGAATCCACTCTGAGGATTAGTACAGAAAGTTACTCTTTGAAGGCTTGTCTGAGCGGCTCCTAGTATCAGAAGCACATAGCCATACAAGTTTTAGGTTTCTCTTTCCTACAAAGACAGTAGAAACCTCTAGGCTAGTGGCCTGTAATCTAGGAACTCCTCATGGAAGCATCTTGAAAGATAGGAACTGGGAAATAATCTGGGAATTTTACTAGAGGAAACTTTATCAGCGGCTATAGGTAACATCAGGAGAAAACAGGGAAATGTTCTTAAACCTGAGTTTGTAAGAAATGACAAGTTCTCCTTTCTCCTGCACATACAGGGCATTGGTTGCTATATGTTCCGAATTGATGACTCAGAGGTAGTGGATGCCACCATGCATGGAAATGCTGCACGCTTCATCAATCACTCATGTGAGCCTAACTGCTACTCTCGGGTCATCAATATTGATGGGCAGAAGCACATTGTCATCTTTGCCATGCGTAAGATCTACCGAGGAGAGGAACTCACTTATGACTATAAGTTCCCCATTGAGGATGCCAGCAACAAGCTGCCCTGCAACTGTGGCGCCAAGAAATGCCGGAAGTTCCTAAACTAAAGCTGCTCTTCTCCCCCAGTGTTGGAGTGCAAAGACACAAGGCCATCCAAAGCAATGCTGAAGGCCTTTTCCAGCAGCTGGGAGCTCCCGGATTGAGTGGGCACAGCTGAGGGGCCTCCGTGATGGCTGAGCTCTCTTATGTCCTATACTCACATCAGACATGTGATCATAGTCCCGGAGACAGAGTTGAGGTCTCGAAGAAAAGATCCATGATCGGCTTTCTCCTGGGGCCCCTCCGATTGTTTACCGTTAAAAAGTGGGAGTGGGGTCCCTAGCAGACTTGCTTGGAAGGAGCCTATTATGGAGGGTTGGTTATGTTGGGAGATTGGGCCTGAATATCTCCACAGAAATAAGTTGCCATCCTCAACTTGGCCCTTTCCCAAGCACTATAAGTGAGGGGTCAGGCAAGGCTCCAGATGGAGGGTTGGCTGGATTCCTGACAGTTTGCCAGTCAGGCCCCGCCTATGGCATGGAACAAACAGAGGTCTGGTGATTTTCCCTACTATCCTCCCACTCAAGGGTTCACTTCTGGTTGGGAGACAGGATCCCTAGCACCTCTGGTGTCAAAAGGCTGTCATGGGGTTGTGCCAATTAATTACCAAACATTGAACCTGCGGGCTTTGAGTGGGAGTGTTGTCCCCAGGAGCCTTATCTCAGCCAATTACCTTTCTTGACAGTAGGAGCGGCTTCCCTCTCCCATTCCCTCTCTTCACTCCCTTTTCTTCCTGTCCCCTGTCTTCATCCCACTGCTTTCCCATGCTTCTTTCCGGGTTGTAGGGTAGACTGACTCCCTGCTCAAGGACACTCCCTGTTGGGCCTAGGATGTGCCTGCAAAGAGTTCCCTGAGCCTGTAAGCACTCCAAGTGGGGAAGTGGACAGGAGCCATTGGCCATAACCAGACAGAATTTGGAAACGTTTTCATAAAGCTCCACAGAGAGTTTTAAAGAAACATGTAGCATGATTTTTTAGGAGAGGAAAAGATTATTTAAATAGGATTTAAACCATGCAACAACCAGAGCATCACAGCCAGGATGACCCCTGGGTCCCATTCCTAAGACATGGTTACTTTATTTTCCCCTTGTTAAAACATAGGAAGACTTAATTTTTAAACGGTCAGTGTCCAGTTGAAGGCAGAACACTAATCAGATTTCAAGGCCCACAACTTGGGGACTAGACCACCTTGTGTTGAGGGAACTCTGCCACCTGCGCACAACCCACAGCTAAAGTGAATTCAATGACACTACTGCCCTGATTACTCCTTAGGATGTGGTCAAAACAGCATCAAATGTTTCTTCTCTTCCTTTCCCCAAGACAGCGTCCTCAACCTGTTAAATTAAGTCATTGGATTTTACTCTGTTCTGTTTACAGTTTACTATTTAAGGTTTTATAAATGTAAATATATTTTGTATATTTTTCTATGAGAAGCACTTCATAGGGAGAAGCACTTATGACAAGGCTATTTTTTAAACTGCGGTATTATCCTAATTTAAAAGAAGATCGGTTTTTAATAATTTTTTATTTTCATAGGATGAAGTTAGAGAAAATATTCAGCTGTACACACAAAGTCTGGTTTTTCCTGCCCAACTTCCCCCTGGAAGGTGTACTTTTTGTTGTTCAATGTGTAGCTTGTTTGTGCCCTGTTGATAAATGTTTCTTGGGTTTGCTCTTTGACAATAAATGGAGAAGGAAGGTCACCCAACTCCATTGGGCCACTCCCCTCCTTCCCCTATTGAAGCTCCTCAAAAGGCTACAGTAATATCTTGATACAACAGTTTCTTTTCTTCTTTCCCATGCCATCTCTCTCCTTTCCGACACAGCTTCCAGAGTGGTGAGAGACGGCAATCTTTTACATTTCCCTCATCTTTCTTACTTCAGAGTTAGCAAACAAGTTGAATGGCAACTTGACATTTTTCATCACCATCTGCCTCATAGGCCACTTTTTCCTTTCCCTCTGCCCACCAAATCCTCATATATCTGCAAAGAACCCATTGATCACCTTTGCCCTCTTTTGGGGCAGCCCGTTGAAACTGAAGCACAGTCTGACCACTCATGATAAAGCAGATTCTTCTCTGCCTCTGCCACAAGGTTTCAGAGCAGTGTAGTCCAAGTAGAGGGTGGGGCACCCTTTTCTCGCCGCAAGAAGCTCATTCCTATGGAAGTCTAGCAAAGCAATACGACTCAGCCCACCACTCTCTGCCCCAGGACTCATGGCTCTGCTGTGCCTTCCATCCTGGGCTCCCTTCTCTCCTGTGACCTTAAGAACTTTGTCTGGTGGCTTTGCTGGAACATTGTCACTGTTTTCACTGTCATGCAGGGAGCCCAGCACTGTGGCCAGGATGGCAGAGACTTCCTTGTCATCATGGAGAAGTGCCAGCAGGGGACTGGGGAAAGGCACTCTACCCAGACCTCACCTCCCTTCCTCCTTTCACCCATGAACAAGATGCAGTGGCCTTCGGGGTTCCACTAGTGTCTGCTTTCCTTTATTATTGCACTGTGTGAGGTTTTTTTGTAAATCCTTGTATTCCTATTTTTTTTAAAGAAAAAAAAACTTAAGCTGCATTTGTTACTGAAATGATTAATGCACTGATGGGTCCTGAATTCACCTTGAGAAAGACCCAAAGGCCAGTCAGGGGGTGGGGGGAACTCAGCTAAATAGACCTAGTTACTGCCCTGCTAGGCCATGCTGTACTGTGAGCCCCCTCCTCACTCTCTTTCTACCGACCCCAAACCCTGAGGACAGGGGAGGAACCCACAGCTTCCTTCTCCTGCCAGCTGCAGATGGTTCGCCTTGCCTTTCCACCCCCTAATTGTCAACCACAGAAATGAGAAATTCCTTCTAGCTCAGCCTTGAGTCCATTGCCAAATTTTCAGCACACCTGCCAGCAACTTGGGGGATAATCAAAGGTTTCCCTACAAGAGGGAAAGAAGGCAAAAACGGCATAGCATCTCCAAAACACATCTGAGTTTATTTCAAAAGTGACCAAGGGAATCTCCACACAAAAGTGCAGATTGAGGAATTGTGGTGGGTCATTCCCAAGAATCCCCCAAGAGGCATCCCAGATCCCTAAGGAGTAACAGCTACAAACCTGGTCAGTTCTCAGAGCCAGCTCACTTACAGCTTTGCTGCTAGAACCTGTTATGGCTGCATTTCCTGGTGGCCAGTGACAACTGTGTAACCAGAATAGCTGCATGGCGCTGACCCTTTGGCCGGAACTTGGTCTCTTGGCTCCCTCCTTGGCCACCCACCACCTTACGCACAGCCCCTCTGTTTTTAGACCAATAACAGGAATTAAGGGGGAAGCCCTGGCAGCTATACGTTTTCAACCAGACTCCTTTGCCGGGACCCAGCCCGCCACCCTGCTCGCCTCCGTCAAACCCCCGGCCAATGCAGTGAGCACCATGTAGCTCCCTTTATTAAAAAAAAAAAAAAAAAAAAAAAAGAAAAGAAAAAGAAAAAAAAATACAACACACATACACAAAGAAAAAAACAAAAAAAAAATCTTAATGAATGTATCTTTCTAAAGGACTGACGTTCAATCAAATATCTGAAAATACTAAAGGTCAAAACCTTGTCATATGTTAACTTTAAAGTTTTGTTTGGGTTTTTTTTTTTTTTAATTAGAAATCAAGTTTTTGTTTTTAAGGAAAAGCGGGTCATTGCAAAGGGCTGGGTGTAATTTTATGTTTCATTTCCTTCATTTTAAAGCAATACAAGGTTATTGAGCAGATGGTTTTGTGCCGAATCATGAATACCAGTCAAGTCACACTCTGAAAACTTGCAACTTTTTGTTTGTTTTGGTTTTCAAATATAAATATGATATATATAGGAACTAATATAGTAATGCACCATGTAACAAAGCCTAGTTCAGTCCATGGCTTTTAATTCTCTTAACACTATAGATAAGGATTGTGTTACAGTTGCTAGTAGCGGCAGGAAGATGTCAGGCTCACTTTTCTCTGATTCTGAAATGGGGGGAACCTCTAATCATAAAGGAATGGTACAATAGTCCATTCCTCGGATCAGAGAGAAACACAGAAATGGTGTCACCTGGATTTTTTTCTGCCCATGAATGTTGCCAGTCAGTACCTGTCCTCCTTGTTTCTCTATTTTTGGTTATGAATGTTGGGGTTACCACCTGCATTTAGGGGAAAATTGTGTTCTGTGCTTTCCTGGTATCTTGTTCCGAGGTACTCTAGTTCTGTCTTTCAACCAAGATAATAGAATTGTGGTGTTTCTTTTATTGAACTTTTAACAGTCTCTTTAGTAAAAACAGGTAGTTGAATAATTGTTTCAAGAGCTCAACAGATGACAAGCTTCTTTTCTAGAAATAAGACATTTTTTGACAACTTTATCATGTATAACAGATCTGTTTTTTTTTTTCCTTGTGTTCTTCCAAGCTTCTGGTTAGAGAAAAAGAGAAAAAAAAAAAAAGGAAAATGTGTCTAAAGTCCATCAGTGTTAACTCCCTGTGACAGGGATGAAGGAAAATACTTTAATAGTTCAAAAAATAATAATGCTGAAAGCTCTCTACGAAAGACTGAATGTAAAAGTAAAAAGTGTACATAGTTGTAAAAAAAAGGAGTTTTTAAACATGTTTATTTTCTATGCACTTTTTTTTATTTAAGTGATAGTTTAATTAATAAACATGTCAAGTTTATTGCTGCACATGGTTGAGCTTCCTTTTGGCTTTGGTTGGAGGGGGTGGAGAAAAGGGGAGGGGCGTGTCCTGTGACCTGGTCACAAAGTACCTTCCACAGTCCTTTGCTTTAAGGTGGCATCACTAAATCATTCCTTGCAGCCCACCTTCAGGTCTGCTCCACACTGGCTCTCGACTATATTTTCTTCCTTTATTCATCAATGATGTATGTTCAGGACCTAATTAGTTCTGGATATGAGGAAAAGTCAAGAGGACAAAGGAATAGTACCTTTACCGTCTACATATCTCCCCTGTTTTATCCAAGGAGATCAGGTAGTGACTTACCTATTTTCTCCTAAACTGTGAATACAATACACTGAAAGCATTTCAGGGAGAAGTTGGAGAGCACCTTCTCTTAGCTGCACTCCACCTTAAGGCTGAAGCTGGATTTGTTTACTGTTTCTCCCGGGGGCAGGGGCAGTTGAGAAATAACTGCCAGTTGAGAAATATTCTGCCAAGCCAGGGTCAACCCTCCAGGCCACAGGTTGAGCAAATGCTATGGCCCAGAAAGGGAGACACTCCTCATGAAGGGGTGGTCTTCATCCTTTTAGATCAACTTCCTGCTGGAGGCTCCACCCCTACCACTGTCCTCCCTATTCTCTCATCCGGAGTCGTCTTTTGGGATTTTTGGAGTTGAGCACCATGGGGACTCCAAATGATCAGGCAGTGCTGCAGGCCATCTTCAACCCTGACACCCCATTTGGAGACATTGTTGGATTGGACGTGGGAGAGGAAGCAGAAAAGGAAGAACTAGAAGAAGGTAAGCATTTGACCTGAAGTGTAGCTCTGCACATAGGCTGGCCTGCTGGCCTTCCACGGTAGCAGAGGGAGGTGATCTTGTAGGGCCCCTTGTTCCATGACCCTTGGATTATGATTGAGATTGGAATCAGAGAGGCTGGCTGCTCCTTAGTGCACTGATGCTTTGGTAAGAGACGTCCTGCCAAGTGGAGTAAGCTAGGGTATGTCTCTCAATCCATCAGCTCCCTTGCCTCTGAATTTACCACTTAATTGCTTGTATGATCCAAGCTTAACTGCCAGGTGATGTTAAATTCTCACATTTTTTGTCATAACAGAATACCACCACCACGCCTACCCAAAATAAGGCAGGGCATGGTGGCTCAGTTGAGTGGTTCCAATATGGCAACCACAACCAGTATCTGTTAAACACTGTCACAAGCCAAGCTCCAAGCTAACTCTTCCACAGAGTGAGTGCATTCACTGCCTTTTCCGTTAGCCCCTAATTAAGGAGTTTTCAATATCCTTTGTTTCTAGAGGAATAAAGCCTACACTTTACTAACTCAGGCTGAAACGCTGAGGGCTACATCAGAAGTGGTGTTCATGATCCGGGAATATCATGGTGGCCTTTGCATAAGAGGCAGTGTGATAGAGCAAAATGCAGACAAAAGCCAGAACGACCTGGGTTCTCATCCAAGCTCTGCATGTATGGCCTGTGTGACTTTGAACAAGTTCTTTAACAAGCTGAGGAGTTTGTGCTTCATTCTCTTGGCAATGGGGAGCCAGCTAAGACCCCTTTCCAGGTCCCTTGGAACTCAGGCAACAGTAGCCCACAGCCTTAGCTACCCAATCTCCCCCATACCCCAAACACTGCAACTGACCACTGCTGTAACCCATACCCAGTCAGCTCTGGCTCAAATCTCAGAATTCCAAAGCCTGAGGTGGCTTTTTCTTCTTGCTACCAACTGCACATCTGGCCCTTCATGGCTCCTTCCCTGGCCCAGATGAAGCTTTCCCTCAAGCACAGCTGGAGCAGTCCAAGGCCCTGGAGCTGCAGGGGGTGATGGCAGCAGAGGCTGGGGACCTCAGCACAGCTCTGGAGAGGTTTGGCCAAGCCATCTGCCTGCTGCCTGAGAGGGCTTCAGCCTACAACAACCGTGCCCAGGCCAGGCGACTCCAGGGAGACGTGGCAGGTAAGGAGAGATGCCCTGTATCCTCTGCAAAAGGGGCCATGGGAGAGCACAGACCAGACGTGAAGTAGCTGTGGGGCTAGGGTGGCTTTGCTAAACTACTCTGGGGGCTGTCTTCTTACCTATAAGGTAGGAGATATAGCAGGGGCCCTGCTAATCTAATGGGGCTATTGTGAAATTCAAAAGAGACTGCATTCCATTGATTAAGGAACATTTAATGAGAGCCTACTACGTGGTAGTATAGTAGGCTGGTGCTGAAGACACTGAGATAAAAGGTATGTTGATTGCCAACATTTATATAGCAGTCACTGTACCAGGCATTAAGCACTTTACATACAAACTATAGTAAATCCATCCTCACAACAACCCTAAAAAGTATATACTATTGTTACCCCAGTTTATAGATGAAGAAACTGAAGCATGGAGAGGCTAAGTAATTTGCCCACTATCATACAGTTAGCAGCAGAGCTGGGATGTGAACCAGGTGGTAGGGCTCCAGAGTGTGTGCTCTTAATCCCCACATGATACTGCTCCTCAAAAGGCTCCCAGTCCAGGGGGCAGACAGACACGTAATTCTGAGACCAGCGTAACACGTGTGAGAGGGGCCAGTGTGGGACCCATTCCTGAAGAGTGAGTTTTCCAGTATGAGTATGAGTTAGCTGGTGAATGGAGAAGGTAGTCTGTAGAGGTCCAAAAAGCAGATAGAGGCACAGAGAACTTCAGGTCTTCAGGCTGGCTGGAGCAGGGAGTGGAAGAAGGATGGAGAGCTGAACCTGGAGCTGTGGGCAAGGGCAAGACCCTGGGAGTGTTAGGCTAAGACTGTGCTGTCTTGAAAACATGGGGAACCACTCAAGGGTTTTAACAGGGGAGTGACTGGATCAAACTCCTGCTGCATTCAGTTTATTCTAATTAAGTGGAGACAATGGGACCATGCTGGGGACCAAAGATCAGGCTGACGGGAAGGTATAAACCGAGGAAACCTAGTACTACTTGACTGTTAGGAGCAGTGGTGATGCAGGTGCTCCCAAGACCAGCAATCCCAGGCTGGGGAATTTTGAGTCGCAAGAACCACGGTAGCTGGCGCGGCCGCAGGTGGGCGGGGGCTCCGGCTAACACTCCAGGAACAATGGAAAACTCCCAAGAGCCCCTTTCCAGGTTTATCTACCCCAGATCGCTGAAGACAGCCTGCAGACCAAAACCCCAGAGAGACGCAGAGGTGATTCCAACTGGAGATTCCTCCAGACCAGCTCCTCTGAGGGAAACCAAGGAGTACTGCAACCTGAGAGCTTCTCCAGAGGCTCAGGCTCTTTAGGAGACTAGAGAACATGAGTGAATTGAAGCAGAGCCCGGAATGAAGGCAGCCTGGTGGACTTACAGAAGGTGGCTGACTGCCTGAGGTTCTGAGTTCAGAGTTCTGAGGCCCAACCCAAGGAATTTATGATAATAAAAATAAAAATGGTGCAGGTCAGCTCTGGCTCCAGGACCAAGGAAATTAGATACATGGAGATAACCAAAGAATGATGAAAGGCAATCAGTCCAGGAAATAGGGGAGAGAGGTGTTCTAGAGCAAGCAATAGAAAAAAAGGCCCTCAAAAGGAAAACAATGAGAATTTGACTTGATTGTACTTGTAAGAAATGACTGCAGTTAATTTTTTTGAGCCCTGACATTCAGAATCAGTCACCTGACACAGTGGATGCTTAATAACAGGTGTGGAATAAATTGGCTGCTACTTGCCCGGGGAAGTGGGTCAGACTCATAAACTTGGTGACTATTCAGAATCCTGCAACGTTCATGTTTTCGTGTATTAGCGGTGGAAAATAATAGAACAAGGCGAGACCTGTACTTCAGTCCCAGCTCTGCCACTAAGTGGCCTGGCTGTACAGCCCCGGGCAAGTCCTCTCAACTCTTCTACAGTCTTCATCTGTAATGGGTGTAACAGTCCGTACCTCTAGCAGGTGCGAGGCGAGTTGTAAACGGCCCCACCCGGGAGCCGCAAGAACCACGGCAGCTGGCGCGGCCGCAGGTGGGCGGGGGCTCCGGCTAAGCCGCCCCAGACGCCGCTGACCACCGCCCCTCCCGCCCCGTCGGTCCCGCAGGTGCCCTGGAGGACCTGGAGCGCGCGGTGGAGCTTAGCGGCGGCCGGGGACGCGCCGCCTGCCAGAGCTTTGTGCAGCGCGGACTCCTGGCGCGGCTGCAGGGCCGGGACGACGACGCCCGCAGGGACTTCGAGCGGGCAGCGCGGCTGGGCAGCCCCTTCGCGCGGCGCCAGCTGGTGCTGCTCAACCCCTACGCCGCGCTGTGCAACCGCATGCTGGCCGACATGATGGGACAGCTGCGCCGCCCCGTCAACGGCAGCTGAGCGCTGCGGAGCTCCGGCGTCTGGGGGCGAGGGAACGGGAAGGGGGGCGCCTGAACCAATAAAGTCGTCGGGCCTCACCAACTCTGCCTGCTCCTGCGTCCTGCCTGCGCCCGGCGAGAAGGGCACCCGGGGGGACTCTGCGCGGGGGGCCCTTTGTGCGGACTAGGGACCCGCCAGGAGGTTGGTGAGCTGTGACCGCCCACCTGCCGGAGGAGGGCCTGTGGGGGCTTGTGGTCGGGCATCGATTGGCCCTGCCTGGTGCAGCCCTCGCCCCTGCAGCGGACTGCGGTGCTCGTCAGACCTGAGCAGTTGCTCCGGCGGCGCTCGGGGAGGGAGCCAGGTGAGCCTCCCTGGTGGCTGGGGGTGGTGGGGAGCGGGGGCGGGATGCTCGGCGACCCCACTCTCCCCTCACCCCTTCCTCTTCCGCTCACATTCACCAGAGCCACCAACATCAAGAAAGGGGGCGTAGGGCGAGGGATGGGAAAGAGAACAAGGCAGGAGGGAGGATAGGATTGGATTGGACGTAGGGCGAGGGATGGGAGAGAGAACCGAGCAGGAGAGAGGATGGGAAAGGGAAAAGCAATCCCTTTGGGGGAGGGGCGAGTGTGTGTGTATGTGCGTGAGTGTGAGTGTCCGTGCGTGCAAGGTGCGGTTGCACAGATGCTCGTTGCTTCTACGGATCTGCGGGCGGGTGCCTGTTTGTAGCCCGGAGTCGGTGCTCGGTTCTGCGCCTGCAGGGTATCCAGGTATCTGCTGAGCGGGTCTGTGCCTTTGGGCTTTGCCGTTCGTGTCCGCGCCTTCGCCACTGGGAGCCGGTCTACATTTGTGTCTCCGTGCATGGTTCTTTTTGTTTCTGGAGAGTACATTGTGGAGAAATTGCTAGGCCTGCCCACTCTCACCTGGCTGACACGGATACCTGATCCCTTCTCTCAGCAGCCTGGGGCCCAGGCCCGGGCCACCATGGCGCTGCCTCCAGGCCCAGCCACCGTCCTGCACACACTGCTACTCCTGCCAGCCCTTCTGAGCTCAGGTACACCCCTGTTCAGTCGTTTACCAAGTGCTTCTGGGGTCCAGAGCCCCCTCTCTCCTCTCTTTGTCTGCACTTCTGTTTGGGTACCCACTCCAGGCCCCAGGCTCTGAAGCCCCTATTCCCCTCACCCACCTACCCTAGCTCCAACCAGTCAGTCCCTGGTGAGAGGACTCAGGCGCCCTTTCCCTTGGCCTGCTGCTCCTCTCACTGGACCTCTTCCTGGTCACAGCACAGTACCAGCCCTGCCCCAGCCCTTCCCAGAGGCCCCTGCTGTGTTCCAGGTTGGGGGGAGTTGGCGCCACAAATAGATGGTCAGACCTGGGCTGAGCGGGCACTTCGGGAGAATGAACGCCACGCCTTCACCTGCCGAGTGGCAGGGGGGCTTGGCACCCCCAGATTGGCCTGGTATCTGGATGGACAGCTGCAAGAGGCCAGCACCTCAAGACTGCTGAGTGTGGGTGGAGAGGCCTTCTCTGGAGGCACCAGCACCTTCACTGTCACTGCCCAGCGGGCCCAGCATGAGCTCAACTGCTCCCTGCAGGACCCCAGCAGTGGCCGGTCAGCCAACGCCTCTGTCATCCTCAATGTGCAATGTGAGTACCCCTGAGGTGGACAGGGAGAGCAGTTCTCTGCCAAAGGACCCCCAGCAGCCACCAGGCAGGTGGTCCGCAGGACATTTAGCAAACACTTAAGCACTTTGCAAATATGAACTCATTTTATCCTCTGAGTAATCCCATGAGGTCATTACTATTGTCACCATTTTACAAAGGAGAAAACTGAGGCACAAAGAGGTTAAGCAGTCCATCTAGGGTGATGGTCCCGCTGGTAAGAAGCAGAGCCAGGATTCACATCTGGGCTTTTGGCTCTAATTACGCTCATAATCACCACGAAATGCTGCCTCTCTGGCAGGTCCAGCCATTCTGTTCTCAGCATCCCCTCTGAGGAGGGGCCCAGGCCCCTGGCCCCCATCTGGGTTTGGGAAGATAGGGCCAGGCATATGAGGGGCTGTGGTAAGAACATATTGGCATCTGCTTTGCACCAGTCAAGCCAGAGATTGCCCAAGTCGGCGCCAAGTACCAGGAAGCTCAGGGCCCAGGCCTCCTGGTTGTCCTGTTTGCCCTGGTGCGTGCCAACCCGCCTGCCAATGTCACCTGGATCGACCAGGATGGGCCGGTGACTGTCAACACCTCTGACTTCCTGGTGCTGGATGCACAGAACTACCCCTGGCTCACCAACCACACCGTGCAGCTGCAGCTTCGCAGCCTGGCGCACAACCTCTCGGTGGTGGCCACCAATGACGTGGGTGTCACCAGTGCCTCGCTTCCAGCCCCAGGTGAGCATGCCCAGCAACTGGCCTAGCAAAGCCTCAGGTGGGCACAGGGGTCCCATCCCCATACAGAAATGAGAGTACTTGTTGCCCTGTGGGTGGGTCTTGTGGATGAGGTAACCCTAGTCACCTTGGGCAAAGAGGGCAGAGTAGTACCTATGGCATGTTGGGGTTGGGGACACTGCCCAGTTGGGACCTAACCAGAGGACATCCTTCAGGGCTCCTGGCTACCCGGGTAGAAGTGCCACTAGTGGGCATTGTTGTGGCTGCTGGGCTTGCCCTGGGCACCCTCGTGGGGTTCAGCACTTTGGTGGCCTGCCTGGTCTGCAGGAAAGAGAAAAAGACCAAAGGTAGGCCAGGGACACGGGACAGAGGGTGGCTGGAGGAGTGGTGATAGGTCAGGCTGAGCAGCAGCCTGGGCAGAACCAGTCATCTCTGACCGTGCCAGAGCACTTCCAGGGTGTGGCCATGGGTAGGCCATTACCCTGTGGGTCCTGGGTCTGAAAGAGTAGGAGGAGGAAAGCCCAGCGTGGGAGGGCACCTTGAGAATTAGAGATATGGCTTCTTTCTCCGCAGGCCCCTCCCGGCGCCCATCTCTGATATCAAGGTAACTCTTCCTGGGGGTGGACAAGCCTCATAATCACCACGAAATGCTGCCTCTCTGGCAGACCCAGGCATTCTGTTCTCAGCATCCCTTCTGAGGAGGGGCCCAGGCCTCTGGCTCCCATCTGGGTTTGGGAAGATAGGGCCAGAGGTATGAGGGGCTGTGGTAAGAGCATATTGGCAGGATGGGGACAGGAGGGAGCCTGGGGTTTCTGGTAGAAGCAGCCGTGCAGCCTGTGCCAGGGTGCATATCCATTCTGACTGTCCTTCCTGTAGTGACTCCAACAACCTGAAACTGAACAATGTGCGCCTGCCACGGGAGAACATGTCCCTCCCGTCCAACCTTCAGCTCAATGACCTCACTCCAGATTCCAGAGGTACATCTAGGACCCTGCTATTGACCCCTGCTTAATCTTCAGAAGTGCTTCTGAGAAAGAGAGCTTGGTGCTTGGGAGGGGCAAGGCCCCATCAGGCACACTCCTCGTCCTCAACACTGCCCTCTTTGTCACCCAGCAGTGAAGCCAGCAGACCGGCAGATGGCTCAGAACAACAGCCGGCCAGAGCTTCTGGACCCGGAGCCTGGTGGCCTCCTTACCAGCCGAGGTATTGGGAAAGGGCCTACCGCCCTCCTCCTCTGCTCCCCAGCCCTGTGCTTATGCCAGAGGCCTCTAAGTGCCCAAGGAGCAGAGAGGGCTCTCCCAGCTTCCACAGAACAAGCGTTACTGAGTCCCCTGGGCTTCTTTGATCCCACAGGTTTCATCCGCCTCCCAATGCTGGGCTATATCTATCGAGTGTCCAGTGTGAGCAGTGATGAGATCTGGCTCTGAGACAAGGGTGTTCTCTTGGCCTCCCGACACCCTCCCTTTCCTCCAAGGCATCCTCTGCCTAGCTATTTCGCCAACAGGAACAGGTCATGCCACTGCCACTTTTGCATGCCCTCCTAGCTGGGGTGCCCTCTGTCATGCACATGATGCACTTCACTGGGCTCTAACCCACAGAGGGACAGGTATCTTTGGCAAGGCTGCTAGTTGGACCTAAGCCCCTCATGCTGACTCAGGGTGGGGCCTGCATGTGATGACTGGGCCCTTCCACAGGGAGCTCTTTGGCCAGGGGTATTCAGATGTCATCCAGCATCCCCGTGTGGCATGGCCTGCTGTATGCCCCACAAGGGCCCTGCATGGATTTTTCTCCTTCCTATGCTATGTACCCTCAGGTAAAATTTAGGACCCTGCTAGCTGTGTAGAACCAAACTGTCCTTTGCACAGAAACCAACCCCTGGTCCAGGGGCACTGGCCAAGCACAAACGAGTCCTTTTTGCTGCATACCTCTCTGCCCTTCTCTGTCCCTTCTGTCCCCACCCCCTCTTGGGAATTCTAGGTTATATGTTGGACCTTCTGTACTTCTTCACTGGGCACTAGACTTTTCTATTGGCCTGTGCCTCGCCCAGTATTAGCACAAGTCAGGGAGGAAGAGGGAGGTGATGAGTCCAGTAGCACCCAGGACGGCTTGTAGCTGTGCCTCATTTTCATACGGTGTTAGCACTTTAAGCACATACCCTAGGGGAGGGTATGAGTGAGGGGCACAGAGCCCTCTTTCTTTGTGGCTTCCCCAAGTTTGGCCTTCTGTGATTCACTGTGAGTGTCCTGAGCTCTCGGGATTGATGGTTTCCCTCTCAGCTTGTCTCCTCCACCGTGGGACCCCAGCCCTGACCAAGCCCTGGTTGCCCCATCAGCAGGAAGCTGCCCTTCCTGGAGGATGGTCACCACAGGCACATGATTCAACAGTGCTGGAAGCTTTAGGGGGACATGGAGAAAGGAGGAGACTACATACCCCAAAATGACCTAAGAACACTTTAAAACACAACATGTAAATGATTGGAAATGAATATAGTACAGAATATATTTTTCCCTTGTTGAGATATTCTTTTGTAATGTTTTTCATGTTACCGCTTAGGACAGTGCTGAGCACACAGCAAGTTTAATAAACTTGACTGAATGAATTTACATATCTCTGCTTCATTTCTATGTTTTGTGTGTGGTTTTTTTTTGTTTGTTTTTTTGAGACAGAGTCTCACTCTGTCGCTCAGGCTGGAGTGCAGTGGCCCGATCTTAGCTCACTGCAACCGCTACCTCCTAGATTCCAGCAATTCTCCTGCCTCAGCCTCCCGAGTATAGCTGGGACTATAAGCACCAACCACACCCAGCTAATTTTTATATTTTTAGTAGAGATGGGATTTCACCATGTTGGCCAGGCTAGTCTCGAACTCCTGACCTCAAGTGATTTGCCCACTTCGGCCTTCCAACATGCTGGGATTACAGGTGTGAGCCACTGTGCCCAGCCTTCTTCTAATAGGTTTTTTAAATGAAGTTTTCCAGTCTGACAGTGGAAAAAATACAGCAAGCACCTATATACCCACCACCGAACTCTGATATTACCAAACTTTCTTCAGAAAAGTAAGTATTTTTTTAATTACACTGTTCCCAATGGCAGGATTAGCATTTTCTATTTTAGAAGTGCCGAGTGGGGTTCTTAACTATAACTAGCATCTGATTCCACTTGGTCCAGCTGCTGCTTCCCACCTCAGAACTGGGCTTAGATAAGCTGAGCCCCTTCGTCCTGCCCACGGGAACAGAAAGCTTAGACTGGGCTGTGATTTTTTTTTTTTTTAGCACAGAGTTATGCGGTTCATGTAAAATTTTGTTAAATCCATATGTATGTATGTGTACATGTATATAGAGAGAGCACGTGTGTGTGTGTGTGTGTCTTGCTCTGTCTCTCGGGCTGGAATACAGTAGTGCAATCATACCTCACTGCAGCCTTGAACTCCTGTGCTCAAGAGATCCTCCCACCTCAGCCTCATGAATAGCTGGAACTACAGGTGTGTGCCATTGTGCTCAGCAAATTAAAAAGATTTTAGGGGGACCAGGTGCGGTGGCTCATGCCTGTAATCCCAGCACTTTGGGAGGCCAAGGCAGGTAGATGACAAGGTCAGGAGATCAAGACCATCCTGGTCAACAAGGTGAAAACCAGCTCTACTAAAAATACAAAAATTAGCTGGGCTTGGTGGTGTGTGCCTGTAATCCTAGCTACTTGGGCAGCTGAGGCAAGAGAATCGCTTGAACCAGAGAGTCAGAGGTTGTGGTGAGCATGGTGACTCATACCCGTATCATAGCACTTTGGGAAGCTGAGGCAGGTGGATCGCTTGAACCCGGGAGTTCAAGACCAGCCTGGGCAACACAGTGAGACCCCATCTCTACAAAAACACAAAAATTAGTCAGGCATGGTGGGTGTACCTGTAGTGCCAGTTACTTGGGAGGCTGAGGCAAGAGGACCACTTGAGCCCAGGAGGCAGAGGACTCAGTGACTGAGCTGCACCACTGCACTCCAGCCTTGGCCACAGAGTTAGACCCTGTCTCCACAGAAAAGAGAGAATCTCCATACGGTTTTCCATAGGGGTTGTACTATTTTACAGTCCCACCAATATAAGACTGTAAGAGTTCCCTTTTCTCCCCATCCTCATCGATACCTGTAATTCTGTCTTTTTAGTAATAGCCATTCTGATTGGGGTAAGCTTGTATCTCACTGTGGTTTTGATTTGCATTTCTCTGATGATTAGTGATGCTGAGCATTTTCTTGTATACCTGTTGGCCATTTGTATGTCTTCTTTTGAGAAATGTCAGCTGGGTGTGGTGGCTCACACCTATAATCCGAGCACTTTGGGAGGTCAAGGCAGGTGAATCACTTGCAGTCAGGAGTTTGACACCAGCTTGGCCAACATGGCAAAACCTATCTCTACTAAAAATACAAAAAATAGTTGAGCATGGTAGCACATACCTGCAATCCCAGCTACTTGGGAGGCTGAGGCAGGAGAATCGTTTGAACTCAGGAGGCAGAGGTTGCAGTGAGCTGAGATCATGACACTGCATTCCAGCCTGGGTGACAGAGTAAGGCTGTCTCAGAAAAAAAAAAAAAGGAAATGTCTCTTTTGCCAACTTTTTAATGGGATTATTTGGTTTATTTTCCTGTTGAGTTGTTTGAATTCCTTGTATATTCTGGGTATTAATCCCGTTGGATGAATAGTTTGTGAATGTTTTCTCCCATTCAACAGATTGTCTCTTCACTCTGTTCATTATTTCTTTTGCTGTGCAGAAGCTTTTTACTTTACTAAGACCCATTTGTCTATTTTTGTTTTTGTTGCTGTGCTTTTGAGGTCTTGGTTGTAAATGTTTTGCCTAGACCAATGTCCAGGAGAGTTTTCCCTAGGGCTTCTTCTGGTATTTTTATAAATTCAGGTCTTATGTTTCAGTCTTCAATCTATTTTGAGTTGATTTTTATATGTGGTGAGAGATAGGGGTCCAGTTTCGTTCTTCTGCAGGTGGCTATCCAATTTTCGCAGTACCATTTATTGTGGAGGGTGTTCTTTCCCCACTCTAAGTTTTCATCGGCTCTGTCAATGGGCTGTGATTTAAAAATAAAAAATTGAGGCCGGGGCGCAGTTGGTCACACCTGTATCCCCAGCACTTTGGGAGGCCGAGGTGGGTAGATCACGAGGTTAGGAGTTCGTGACCAGCCTGGCCAATATGGTGAAACCCCCCTCTGCTAAAAATACAAAAATTAGCTGGGCGTGGTGGCGCATGCCTGTAGTCCCAGCTACTCAGCAGGCTGAGGCAGGAGAATCACTTAAACCCAGGAGGCGGAGGTTGCAGCGAGCTGAGATTGTGCCACTGCATTCCAGCCTGGGTGACAGAGCGAGACACCATCTCAAAACAAAACAATATTTGCAAGCCTCATGGTAACCTCAAATTAAAAAACACACAATGGAAACACTGCTTTTAGGATCCTTTCCTTATCCTTGACCTTTGGGAGTTTGATTATTAAATGCCTTGCGGTAGTCTTCTTTGGGTTCAATCTGCTTATGTTCTATAATCTTGTACGTGGATATATGGGTATCCTCTAGGCTTAGGAAGTTCTCTGTTATCCCTTTGAATAAACTTTCTACCCCATCTCTTTCTGTCTCCTCTTTAAGACCAGTAACTCTAGATTTGCCCTTTTGAGGCAATTTTCTAGATCTTACAGGCGTGCCTCATCCTTTATTATTTTCTTTCATCTTTCATCTCCTCTGTTTTTTTTTTTTTTTTTTTTTGAGACAGAGTCTTACTTTGTCGCCAGGCTGGAGTGCAGTGGTGCAATCTCAGCTCACTGCAACCTCTGCCTCCTGGGTTCAAGCGATTCTTCCGCTTCAGCCTCCCGAGTAGCTGGGACCAGAGGTGCATGCCACCACACCCAGCTAATTTTTGTATTTTTAGTAGAGACGGGGTTTCACCATGTTGGCCAGGAAAGTCTTGATCTCTTGACCTTGTGATCCGCCCACCTTGGTCTCCCAAAGTGCTGGGATTACAGGCATGAGCCACCGCACTCGGCCGTATTTTTTTTTTTTTTTTGAGATGGAGTCTCACTCTGTCGCCCAGGCTGGAGTGCAATGGCGTGAACTCAGCTCACTGCAACCTCCACTATCTGGGTTCAGTGATTCTCCTGCCTCAGCCTCCCGAGTAAATAGGACTACAAGTGCACACCACCATGCCCAGCTAATTTTTGTATTTTTAGTAGAGATGGGGTTTCTCCATGTTTGTCAGGCTGGTCTTGAACTCCTAACCTGAAGTGATCCACCCATCTCAGCCTCAAAAAGTGTTGAGCTACCATGCGCAGCCGAGACTGTATATTTTCAAATAGCCTGTCTTCGGATTCACTAATTCTTCTGCTTTATCAATTCTATTAAAAGACTGTCATGCCTGGGCCGGATATGTTGGCTCATGCCTGTAATTCCAGGACTTTAGGAGGCCAGGGCAGGTGGATCACTTGAGGCGAGGAGTTCCAGGCCAGCTTGCCAAACATGGCAAAACCCTGTTTCTCCTAAAGTTACAGAAAATTAGCCAGGTGTAGTGGCACATGCTGGTAACCCCAGCTACCTAGGAGCCTGAGGCACGAGAACTGCCTAAACCCGGGAGGTGGAAGTTGTAGTGAGTCTCAGGATCATACCACTGCACTCCACCTTGGGCAACAGAGACCCTGTCTCAAAAAAAAATTTTTTTAAAGACTCTGATGTGTTCTTCAGTATGTCAATTGCATCTTCAACTCTAGAATTTCTGCTTCTTTTAAATTCTTTTTTTTTTTTTTTTTTTTTTTGAGATGAAGTTTTGCTCTTGTTACCCAGGCTGGAGTGCAATGGCTCGATCTCGACTCACTGCAACCTCCCCCTCCTGGATTCAGGCAATTCTCCTGCCTCAGCCACCTGAGTAGCTGGGATTACAGGCACGCGCCACCATGCCCAGCTAATTTTTTGTATTTTTAGTAGAGACGAGGTTTCACCATGTTGACCAGGATGGTCTCAATCTCTTGACCTTGTGATCCACCCGCCTCGGCCTCCCAAAGTGCTGGGATTACAGGTGGCTCCACTGTGCCCGGCTAAATTATTTCAATCTCTTTGTTAAATTTATCTGATAGAATTCTGAATTCCTTGTGTTATCTTGACTTGAGTTTCCTCAAAACAGCGATTTGACTTCTCTGAAAGATCACATTCCCTTCTCTCTCCAAGATAGGTCCCTGGTGCCTTTAGTTTGTTTGGTGACCTCATGTCTTCCTAAAGGGTGTTGATGCTTGTAGATGTTCGTCAGTGTCTGGGAATTGAAGAGACAGGCATTTATTGTAGTCTTTGCTGTCTGGGCTTATTTATACTCATCCCTCTTAGTAAGGCTTTCCAGGTATTCAAAGGGACTTTGGTGTGATCTAAGCAGTCTCTGCATTAGGGAGCACCCCAAGCTCAGTAACTCTGGTTCTTGCTGACTCAGAGAGATATTGCCTTGGAAGTATTAGATAAAATCCAGAACTATCTGTATTACCAGGCAGAGACTCCTGTTGTCTTACTTTCTCCAAAACAAATGGAGAGTCTCTCTGTGTGGTGAGCTACCTGAAGCTGGGGGTTGGGTGACACAAGAACTTCTGTGGCCACCACCACTGGGCCTTCACTGGGTGAGACCTGAAGCCAGGACAGCACTGAGTCTCGCCTAAGGCCCTTGTATCCACTATGGGCTACTGCCTGTGTTCACTCTGGGGCCTGGAGCTATACAGTCAGCAGATGGCGAAGCCAGGCGGGCTCATGTCCTTCCCTTTAGGGTGGCAAGTTCCCGATGGCCCCAGTGGGTCCAGAAATGCCATCCAAATGCCAGGGACTGGAGTAAAAAACCTTAGAAATCTACTTGTTCTATTGTTCTGCTGCTGAGAAACCACGAGATTCTGCTCTAATCTTTATTAATGTCCTTTCTTCTGCTAGCTTTGGGTTTCATGTTTTGTTTTGTGTCTGTTTCAGTTTTGCTCTTCTTAGTTCCTTAAGTTGTAGATTATTTGAGCTCTTTCTTAACATAAACATTTACACACACATTTCCCTCTTAGCACTGCTTTAGCTGTATCCCATCAGTTTTGGTATATCATGCTTTCATTTTTATTTGTTTCGAATTTTCTTTTTGAGATGGAGTCTTACTTTGTCTCCCAGGCCGGAGTACAGTGGCATGATCTCAGCTCACTGCAACCTCCACCTCCCAAGTCCAAGCACTTCTCCTGCCTCAGCCTCCTGAGTAGCTGGGATTACAGGCACACACCACTACATCTGGCTAATTTTTGTATTTTTAGTAGAGACGGGGTTTTGCCATGTTGGCCAGCCTGCTCTGGAACTCCTGACCTCAAGTGATCCGCCCACCTTGGCCTCCCAAAGTGCTGGAACTGCAGGAATGAGCCACCATGCCTGGCTTATTTGTTTTTAATTTTTAAATTTCTCTTGTAACTTCTTCTTTGACCTATTGGTTGAGTGTATTGCTGGCCAGGCGTGATGGCTCCCATCTGTAATCCCAGCACTTTGGGAAGTCGAAGCAGGTGGATCACGATGAGGTCAGGAGTTTAAGACCAACCTGACCAACATGATGAAACTCTGTCTAAACTAAAAATACAAAAATTAGGCCGGGCCTATAATCCCAGCACTTTGGGAGGCTGAGGCGGGTGGATCACTTGAGGTGGATCTCAGTTCACTGCAGCCTTTACCTCCTGAGTTCAAACGATTCTTCTGCCTCATTTTTTTTTAAAGATGGGGTTTCACCATGATGATCAGGCTGGTTTTGAACTCCTGACCTCAGGTGATCCACCCACCTCAGCCTCCCAAAGTGCTAGGATTACAGGCGTGAGCCACCATGCCCGGTCTCTTCTGCCTCAGTCTTACAAGTAGCTGGGACTACAGGCGCATGCCACCACACCTGGCTAATCTTTGTATTATTATTAGAGACGGAGTTTCACCATATTGGCCAGGCTGGTCTCGAACTCCTGACCTCATGATCCACCACTTTGGCCTCCCAAAGTGCTGAGATTACAGGTGTGAACCACCACGCCCGGCTAAACATCAACCCTTTGTTAGAAATAACTAGCATGGTTTCAGACTTCCCGACTGGAGCTTGGCTGACATAACTCCAAAATATTTCCTGAATCAGTACATCTCTACTACTGCCACCCCAGTCACCTCTCACCCAGATTTCTGCAATAGCTATGTTCCCTGAGACCACAACCAGACCAGTCTGGAGCCAGACAGCCTGTGAGGAAGGCAGCATCAACTGGAGAGAGACCCTTAGAAAAATTAAATTCCAGGAGAAATATTGTTCCCCTTGACTGCCGATCTTGGAGGACTGGGGTTTAATTTTATTTCACAAAACTTGTTTCCTTAAACTACTCTTCATTTAATGCCCATTATTAAGCAAAGTTCCTTGTCTCTGCCTTATGCTCAGTCAGCCTCTTCTCCTTCATATTCAAGAGGAGAGTAATCTGACAATAGAGCATTTGATTTATAAAATCTTTACCCAGTAACTTTTAAGAATGAAAAAAAAAAAAAACCAATTTCATCCCTCTCCCAAAAAGGATATCTTTTAAGCTTTCCTCCCAATCTTAGTTCCACGGGATCTCAGAAATTCCAATTCTTCTAACTCATATCCCCACAGTAGTGTAGATGCCTGAACTCCCTGGGGACAGCAATTTGAGGCAGACAGGTTCATTAAAACAAATATGTGCAGTGCCCTCTGGCAGAGAGGACAGCAGGACATGTACTGCCCTTGAGCAAGCTGTGGCATAGGCAAGGACATCAGGTGGCTGACAATGATCTGTCTGTCTCAGCTGGGGCAGAGAGGCCAGCTCAGCCTTGAAACAAGCAGCTTGGAAGGTGCCTCAGCTGAAGGTTAATGTCTCCATGTCTCCATGTCTCCAGCTTGGGAGGTGGAGTTGGATGAAGGAGTGAATGCTTTCTTGCCTTCAGTGAGAGCTTTAAAATGCTGCAAGGAAAAAGGAGAAGGAACACTGAGTATTAGGGATACGCTAGTTGCTATATTTTAGCAAGAATTAATTTCTTTAATGAACCCCCTTTTATTTCCTTCCTGCTTCCATTCATGAGGCCACTTGGTTCTCCTGAAAGAACAAGGGTTTTCTGTAGATCCTCACCTAATTTCACCTAAGGCCCACATCTCCTACTTACCCACACCCTTTTTTTCCCTCCATTTTCCCTTTGAAAACTCCATCCCTGCCTCCTTTGTTGTCCTAATTATGGGAAACAAAGGTAACTGGGCAGACACATCCTACATCCCTAGAGGATACAATCACAGCAGGTTCAGAGCAGTAGGAACTGTAGGGATACTCTCCACAGCTTAAGTCAACCCCTGAGGCTTGGCTTACCTCTGAGTTCTTGAATTCTGAGTACAGGGAAAAGAGCAGATGGAGGGACTGGATCCGACTCTTGTAGACAGGGATGTCTAGAATGGCTGAAATGAAGAAGAATTTCCAGGAACGGAACCAAACAAACTCTGGGAATTAGGGGGCACTTCTGTTTAAGCTAGACAAGCCCCTGCCAGATGGGATGTTACTATGACTTTGCGACTTAAATACCCAGCAGGTAGTCACATAAGCCCAAACACCACCTTTGAGTGCTGCCAAAGAGCACAATGGGCTTAAAATGAAGGCTGAAACTCAAGACGCTATCTTCCCAGAGTCAACAAGTCTGTCCAAAAGCCTAGAGCATCTCTATCCAGATATGGGGATGAGGAAAGGAAGGAGGAACTCACCACAGACTATGTCAATGTACTCTGCCAGGCTGCAATCAATCTCTGCTGTGGGCAGGCTTACCTGGAAGGGGCATGGGACGGACCAAAGTCAAAACGCTGGTGTCAGGTCCCAGCACCACTCTCTCTCTAAAGGAAAAGAGCTTCTAGCATAAGACACATGTTATGGGCTGAAATGTGTTCCCCTAAAATTCAGATATTGAGTTGAGTTCCTAACTCCCTGTACTTCAGAATGTGACTATATTTGGAGATAACATCTTTTTTTTTTTTTTTTTTAAGATGGAGTTTCGCTCTTGTTACCCAGGCTGGAGTGCAATGGCGCGATCTCGGCTCACTGCAACCTCTGCCTCCTGGGTTCAGGCAATTCTCCTGCCTCAGCCTCCTGAGCAGCTGGAACTATAGGCACGCGCCACCACGCCCAGCTAATTTTTTGTATTTTTAGTGGAGACGGGGTTTCACCATGTTGACCAGAATGGTCTCGATCTCTTGACCTCGTGATCCACCCACTTCGGCCTCCCAAAGTGCTGGGATTACAGGCCTGAGCCACCGAGCTGGGCCTTGGAGATAACATCTTTAAAGAGATAAGTTAAAACAAGGTCATTAGGGTGGGCCTTAATCCAATATGACTAGTGTCCTTATAGGAAGTGGAAATCAGGACAGAGACACGTAACACAGGGAAGACCATGTGAAGAGAAAGCCCTCAGAAGAAATCAACCTTGGTTAGGCACGGTGGCTTCATACCTGTAATACCAGCACTGTGGGAGGTTGAGGTGGGCAGATCGCCTGAGCCCAGGAGTTTCAGACCAGCCTGGGCAACATGGTGAAATTCCATCTCTACCAAAAAAATTAGCCGGGTGTGATGGTATCTGTAGTCCCAGCTATTTGGGAGGCTGGAGTGGGAGGATCACTTGAGCCCAGCAGGTCAAGGCTGCAGTAAAGCGAGATCAAGCCACTGCACTCCAGCCTGGGCATAGAGTAACACCCTGTTTCAAAAAAAAAGGAAAGGAAAGGAAGAAGGCAGGCAGGAAAGCAAAGCAAAGCAGAGAGGAAGGAAGGAAGGAAGAAGAGAGGGAGGAAATCAAGAAGGAAGGAAAGCAGAGAGGAAGGAAGGAAGAAGAGAGGGAGGAAATCAAGAAGGAAGGAAGGAGGAAAAGAAGTCAGCCATGCCAACAAACTGATCTTGAACTACTGGACTGCTAACCTCCAGAACTGTGAAATAATAAATTTCTTAATGTCAAAGCCACCCAGTCTGTGGCAGCCTTTGTTATGGCAGCCTAGCAAAGTAATACGACATGCTCCTTTTTTCCCCTGATCAGTATGGAATTATAAAATCCACTGCCATACTCTCTTCCTGTGGGAATCTGTGAAAAAGAAACTGATACCAAGTTATGGCTAAGTATTAATAGTTATATAAGCATTACTTGGTGTTATAATACCTAATGATTCCAGGGTACCATATGAGCAGAGAAAACGGACATGACATCTAACTCAGGTAACAGGCTCTGGATCTAAACAAGTCACAGTGTAAGTTTTTAAACTACTGGTTTTTTAAAACTTTCTCTTTTTACAAAAAAACAGGGCACATATTCTGCAACTTGCTGCAATTTGCTTTTTTCATTTTAACAACATATCACTGCTACTTCTTCATATTAGAGCAAAATAAGGCCAAATAATATTCCATTGCATAGTATTTCATTGAATGCAATCTAGCTATTCATTCCCCTAATCAGACATTTTAGACATTTTCTCTCAACTACAGCTTCAAAATGCTCTGAGGAAAGAGACTTTCCAAATTCTTTGCATTTACAATCAATTCCTCATACACACACACAAAATCTATCTTCATAGAACTTACATTTTAGTAGGGAAGAACAAAGTACGTAACTAAGGTATATGGTATGTTAGAAGTTACTGAGAAAAAGCAGGGACAGAGGTCAGGGAATGCTGAGGAGCTAGTGCAGCCATTTAAACATGATGGCTAGGAAGGACCGGTTGGTCATCTTTGTTCAGTTTCCTTTTCTTTTTTGATACCTTAAAAATTTGTTTTTTAGACAGTCTTACTCTGCTGCCCAGACTGGGGTGCAGTGGTGTGACCTCAGCTGTCTGCAGCTTCGACCTCCTGGGTTCAAGCAGTTCTCCTGTCTCAGCCTCCCAAGTAGCTGGGATTACAGATGTGCACCGCCAAGCCTGGCTAATTTTTTTGTGTTTTCAGTAGAGGCAGGGTCTCACCATGTTGGCCGGGCTGGTCTCAAACTCCAGACCTAAGGGGATCTGTCCACCTCAGCCTCCCAAAGTGCTAGGATTACAGGCATGAACCACCACGTCCAACTCCTTTTTTCTTTTTTTTGGAGAGAAGAGTCTCCTATTGCTGCCCAGGCTGGTCCTGAACTCCTGGCCTCAAGTGATTGTCCCACCTCAGCCTCCCAAAGTGCTGGGATTATAGGTATGAGCCACGGTGCCTGGCCCACTTTCTTTTTCTTATTGATATATGAAAGCGCTTTGCTTGGATAGCAATTTTTTCTACTACATATATATATATATATATGTAATATATAATTTACATATATACGTAATATATAATTTATATATATATAATTTTTCTCAGACTGCCACCATCTTTTAACTTTGTTTATGGTGTCTATTGGTATGTAGAACCTTTCATTTCTATGAGTTTAAACTGTCACATTTTCTCCATTGTGACATTAAAAAAAAAAATAGAGATGGGTCTATGTTGCCCAGACTGGTCTCAAACTCCTAGGCTCAAGCAATCCCCCCATCTTGAGCTCCCACTACTTTGGACTTTTTTTTTTTTTTGAGACAGAGTTTCACTATTGTTACCCAGGCTGGAGTGCAATAGCACGATCTCGCCTCACCACAACCTCCCCCTCCTGAGTTCAAGCAATTCTCCTACCTCAGCCTCCCGAGTAGCTGGGACTACAGGCGTGCGCCACCATGCCCAGCTAATTTTTGTATTTTTTAGTAGAGACAGGGTTTCACCTTGTTGACCAGGATGGTCTCGATCTCTTGACCTCATGATCCACCCGCCTTGGCCTCCCAAAGTGCTGGGATTATAGGCATGAGCCACCGCGCCCAGCCAGGACTCTTTTTTTTAAACAGAGTCTCTCTCTATTACCCCACTGGAGTGCAGTGGTGTCACCTCAGCTCAATGCAATCTCTGCCTCCTGGGTTCAAGCAATTCTCCTGCCTCAGCCTCCTGAGTAGCTGGGATTACAGGCACCTGCCACGACACCCGGCTAATTTTTTAATTTTTTTGGTAGAGATGGGGTTTTGCCATGTTGGCCAGACTGGTCTTGAACTCCTGACCTCAGGTGATCCACCTGGCTCGGCCTCCAAAAGTGCTGGGATTACAGGCGTGAGCCATGGTACATGGCCTAAACCACTGTGCCTGGCCTCATTATGACTTTTAAGTTTCTTATTACACTAAGAAACACCTAACCATCCTAATAGAATTAAATTTCTCTAAATTATAAGACACCTGAATTTTTTTAAAAAGAGAGAATTAAATTTCTACTGTATTTATTTCATTAATTTTTTCAGTCATGCTCCTTCTGTCTCTCCTATGTTTTTATATTACTTACATGGCTTTATTTTTACATTAACTTTTTTTTCCTTTATTTTTAAGACGGGGTTTCACCCTGTTGGTCAGGCTGGTCCCAAACTCCCGACCTCAGGTGATCCGCCCGCCTTGGTCTCCAGGTGTGAGCCACCATGCCTGGCCTCCCCTTTTATTTTTATTTCTATTTTTTGTTTTTGAGTCAGGGTTTCCTTATGTTGCCCAGGGTGGTCTTGTGCTCAAGCAATCTTCATGCCTCAGCCTCCCAAAATGATAGGACTACAGGGATGAGCCATTGTGCCCGACCCACATTAACTCTTTATTTCATCTGAAATTTACATATATATACACATACGGTTAAGGCAGAAATCTGGCCGGGTGCAGTGTAATCCCAGCACTTTGGGAGGCTGAGATGGGCGGATCACAAGGTCAAGAGATCTAGACCATCCCGGCCAACATGGCGAAACCCCATTGCTACCAAAAATATAAAACTTGGCTGGGAGTGGTGGCGGGCACCTATAGTCCCAGCTACTTGGGAGACTAAGGCAGGAGAATCACGTCAACTTGGGAGATGCAGGTTGCAGTAAGCTGAGATCATGCCACTGCACTCCAGCCTGGTGACAGAGCGAGACTCCATCTCAAAAAAAACAAAAAAAATGGGCAGGACCGGGCGCAGTGGCTCATACCTATAATCCCAGCACTTTGGGAGGCAGGTGGATTACCTGAGGTCAGGAGTTCGAGACCAGCCTAACCAACATGGAGAAACCCCACCTCTACTAAAACTACAAAAATTAGCTGGGCATGCTAGCACATGCTTGTAATCCCAGCTACTCAGGAGGCTGAGGCAGGAGAATCACTTGAATCAGGAGGAACTGCAGTGAGCTGAGATCACGCCACTGCACTCCAGCCTGGGCGACAGAGTGAGACTCGTTGCAAAATAAAGATCACTGGGTGCTGTGGCTTATGCCTGTAATCTCAGCACTTTGGGAGGCTGAGGCAGGAGGACTGCTTGAGCCCAGGAGTTTGAGAACAGCAATAAACCGAACCTCATCTCTACAAAAAATTAAAAAATTGGCTGAGTGTAGCGGTGCATGCCTGTGGTCCCAGGTGGGAGGACTGCTTGAGTCTGGGAGGTAGAAGCTGCAGTGAGCCATATCATGCCGCTGTACTGCAGCCTGAGAAGAGCGAGACCCTGTCTCAAAAAAAAAAAAAGGTTACAAATAATAATGATGCAGAAAGAGAAAAAACATCGGGCCCTAGAGCGAACGCCATCCTTTCTTACCTTACCTCCTGCTACCTTCCACTCACCTTGCCCAAAAGCTCTTCAAACTCCGGGGACCATTCCTGCATCAGCGTGTCAATGTCGGGCATGGGCCTAAAAGTATAGAAGTAAATATGAACAAGAAACATCAACTGATAACATCAGCAACCTCTAGATCAGGATATTCTAGGATGAAGGAGAGGTTTCTGGCACATTAGGAAGGCTTCAGGAGAACCTCAGTCTGGCACTTTAAGAAGGCTTCAGGAGAAGCTAGACTGGGCATACCAAAGTTGCCCAGGGCCTGGGTTTAGAGGAGCTAGCTAAGTAATAGCAGAGAAATTACAATCTTTATGTCTAAAATCTCAGCCAGTAGTTGCCAGGATTCACAGGACCTCGGGTTGATCAAATATGTTCCCAGCCTCTGGGCCTCTTCTCAGGAGCAACAGTTCACAGGTGGTGAAAGTTACTATGGGTTACTGTTGTAAAGAATGTGGTGTTTCTTACCTGGTATAGTGCACAGTCGCAGGGGGTTTAGAACGGTGTAACTCAGAGATGCTCTCGATCCACATGTCAATGGCTTTGGGATTCTTTTCTGCATCCTCCAGGCTCTTTACTTTCATATGTTGCTAGGAAAGTAAGGAGAAAGCCTGGCTGATGGCACTGAAGTAGCTCTCTTGTTTTTACGGTGTCTCATTATAGCTGCTGTTGTTTCATATTCAAGGTTGCTGATGATAGCAGCTGCCACATGAAATAGCAGCCAAATGAAAGGGATAGGAAACCCTGATAAAATCTGCTGAAGCCAGGCCAGACATGGGGGCTCACACTTGTAATCCTAGGACCCTGGCCGTCTGAGATAGGAGGATCACTTGAGGCTAATAGTTCAAGGCCAGCCTGGGCAATATAGTGAGACCTTGTTTGCACTAAAAATAAAAAATTAGCCAGGCATGGTGTTGTGTGCCTGTAGTCTCAGCTACTTGAAAGGCTGAATGGGAGGACTGCTTGAGCCTGGGCATTTGAGGTTGCAGTGAACTAAGACTGTGCCACTGCACTCCAACCTGGGCAACAGGGCAAGATATCTCAAAAAAAACAAAAAAACAAAAGCCAAGTGCAGTGGTTCACACCTGCAATCCTAGCGCTTTGGGAGACTAAGGGAGGAGGATCACTTGAGGTCAGCCTAGGAAACATAGGGAGACCCATCTCTACAAAATAAAAATTAAAAAAAAAAAAAAAAAAAAACCTAGCCGGGCATGGTGGCATGCACCTGTGGTCCCGCCCACTTGGGAGGCTGAGGTAGCAGGACTGCCTGGGCCCAGGAGGTCGAGGCTACAGTAAGCCACAATCACACCACTGCACTCTAGCCGGGGTGACAGAGCAAGACCCTGTATCAAAAAAAAAAAAAAAAAAAAAAAAAAATGGAATTTGCTGAAGCCATGGAAAGGGGGCAGGTCAAAATGGCAGGACGGACCATAATGAAATACCATTTTACACCTACTAGTATGATTAGAATAAAAAAGATAAACAATAACCAGTGTTGGTGAGGATGTAGAGAAACTGGAACTCTCATTCATTGCTGGTGGGAATGTAAAATGGTACAGGCACTTTGGAAAATAGTTTGGCAGTTCCTCAGCTAAACAGAGTTTCCATATGGCCCAGCAATTCTACTCCTATGTATATACCCAAAAGAATGATAATATACACCCACACAAAAACTTGTATACAAATATTCAAAGCAGCATTATTAATAAAAGTGGAGAGAACTGGAGAATGAATAAAGAAAATGTGATAAATCTATACAGGGGATATTATCCAGCCATAAAAAAGGTGGCCAGGCGTGGTGGTTCACACCTGTAATTCCCAACACTTTGGGAGGCCGAGGTGGTTGGATCATGAGGCCAGAAATTCAAGACCAGCCTGGCCAAGATGGTGAAACCCTGTCTCTGCTAAAAATATAAAAATTAGCTGGGCGTGGTGGCGGGTGCCTATAATCCTAGCTACTCAGGAGCCTGAGGTAGGGAACTGCTTGAACTCAGGAGGCAGAGGTTGCATCGAGTCAAGATTGATTGCACCACTGCACCCCAGCCTGGCCACAGAGCAAGACTCCATCTAAAATATAAATTTAAAAAAAGGAATAAAGTTATGACCAGGCTCTAGGAGGAAGTGGGAGAATGAGGAGTGAATACTAATGGGTGTGAAGTTTCTTTTTGAGGTGATAAAATATTAGGTAGTGGTGATGGCTACAAAAATGTGATTATATTAAAACTAATGAGTTGTACAATTTAAAAGGCTGAAGTTGCTGCTATATAAATTATATGTAAATAAAGCTGTCATTTGAAAAATAGGGCTGGCCCAAACTGATAGCCATCTCTTTTGATAGATGGTAAGTCTACTACATGAGTGCCAGCAAGGCCTACTCCATTCTTGGCCCTCTCCAGCTCGGGCCGATACTAGGCTATTATCTTACTGTGATGTTGTGCTGCTTAGAATTCTCTGTTAACCAGAGTGAGAACACTGTAGGGTCCGACTGCTTTGTAGAAGGTTCATCCAATACCAACAAGCCAAGGTTGTCAGGCTTTCCATCAGGACGTGGGACCTGGTTAAGAAAAAGTTAAGAAAGCAGAAAAGAAAATGAGAAGGCCCTAACAAGGCCACACCTGTTTCCAATAAGCTAAAGAGGAATAACTCTTCTAGTTCACCAATACTAGTATTAAAAGCACGCGTATCATGCTGTACTCAAAACTATCCAGAAAAAAAAATATGATCCATAGCAGCTTAAATATAAACCTGTTGTCCTAGATAATTAGGAAGCAAATACATGACAAACTGTTAATATATAATGAGATATGTACTACTTAAGAGCAATGAGTATAATTTGGAGTTGAGAGCAAGGTTAAGAACTCCAATGAAATGAACATGTATAGAGGTAGCCAATACCACTCAAAGAAATTAGGGGAATCGCCGGGTGCGGTGGCTCACGCCTGTAATCCCAGCACTTTGGGAGGCCGAGGCGGGTGGATCACGAGGTCAAGAGATCGAGACCATCCTGGTCAACATCGTGAAACCCCGTCTCCACTAAAAATACAAAAAATAGCTGGGCATGGTGGCGTGCGCCTGTAGTCCCAGCTACTCGGGAGGCTGAGGCAGGAGAACTGCTTGAACCCAGGAGGCGGAGGTTGCGGTGAGCCGAGATCGCGCCATTGCACTCCAGCCTGGGTAACAAGCGAAACTCCGTCTCAAAAAAAAAAAGAAATTAGGGGAACCGTTAAGAATAACAGGGGCATCAGAAAAAACAGTTAAGGAGTCATTTTCAGGATGTACTGACTATACCTTTAAGAATGCATCAATATCCCCAACAGCTGGGATAAAATCAGGAATGAAAGGCTTTAGTTTGTGGTCCAGGTCAATCAACTGAGGTGTGTACCTAGGAGATATTGTCAAAGGAAGGTAGAGACAGTCAGAGAAAGCTACTTTACTATTCAGGCTAAAAAACATCTAAGGAGAATGACCCTATTTCAGACTAAAGGTAGGAAAGGTTTGGGCCAAGGTAGGGATGGTAGGGTATGGTGGGAAGTCCTAGTACTCACCTACTGATGTACTGGAAGAGTTCCTTAATCTCAGCAGAAACTGGCAAATGCTCATAATCTGCAGGGTCATAGGCCCTGGGAAAAGGAAAATAGTTTGTTCAAGGTGACCAAAGAAGAGCAGAGGTGTCAGGGTCCTAGGTGCTGGTGTGTTACTGACTATAGGGATGTGATCCTGAACCTAGCTTCTGCCTCTCCAGTATCTGCCTTTCCTGGCAGCTTGCAAGGCAACTTTAAAGTTGATTATACTTAACTCTCAATTATCTCTAACTCTAAAGGATAGAGGTGCAGAAAATCCAAAACATAATTTTTTTAATGTTAAAATGTAGCATAAATGGTTTTCCTTTTAATGAAAGGATGAAAAGAAAAGGTGGAACAAGAGATTTTAGGGCTGGGTGTGGTGGCTCAACCTGTTATCCCCACACTTTGGGAGGCTGAGGTGAGTGGATCACCTGAGGTCAGGAGTTCAAGACCAGTTTGGCCAATATGGTTGAAACCCCATCTCTACTAAAAATACAAAAATCAGCCTGGTGTGGTGGTGCATGGCTGTAGAACCAGCTATACAGGAGGTTGAGGCAGGAGAATTGCTTGAACCTGGGAGGTGGAGGTTCCAGTGAGTCAAGATCACAGCACTGCACTCCAGCTTGGGTTACAGAGCAAGACTCATCTCAAAAAAAAAAAGAGAGAGATTGAAATATCCAACATGAAAATAGGTTTGCACCAAGAAAAAAAGAAATTTTTATACAAGTGTTTTTTTAGCAGTTATTATTTTTTAATTTAATGATTTTATTATTGAGACAAGGTCTCACTCTGTTGACCAGCTTGGAGTACAGTGGCCTGATCACAGCTCACTGCAGCCTCAAACTCCTGGGCTCAACTGATTCTCCTACCTCAGCCTCCTGAGCAGCTGGGACTATGGGCAAAGGCCAGCATGACTGGCTAATTTTTTTTTTTTTTTTTTTTGAGATAGAGTCTCACTTTGTCACCAGGTGCCAGGCTGGAGTGCAGTGGCACAATTTCGGCTCACTGCAGCCTCCACCTCCCAGGTTCAAGCAATTCTCCTGCCTCAGCCTCCCGAGTAGCTGGGACTACAGGAGCACACCACCATGCCCAGCTAATTTTTGTATTTTTAGTAGAGACGAGGTTTCACCATGTTGGCCAGGATGGTCTCAATCTTTTGACCTGGTGATCCACCTGCCTTGGCCTCCCAAAGTGCTGCGATTACAGGCTTGAGCCACCGCGCGCGCCCGGCCTAATTTTTTTTTTTTTTTTTGAGACAGAGTTTCACTTATGTTGCCTAGGCTGGAATGCAGTGGCAAAATCTCAGCTCACTGCAACCTCCGCCTCCCAAGTTTCAAGTGATTCTCCTGCCTCAGCCTCCCTAGTAGCTGGGATTACAGGCATATGCCACCATGCCCAGCTAATTGTGTTGAGATGGAGTTTCACCTTGTTGGTCAGGCTGGTCTCAAACTCCCAACCTCAGGTGATTCATTCATCTCAGTCTCTCAAAGTGCTGGGATTACAGCCATGAGCCATTGCATCCGGCGCTCAGCTAATTTAAAAAAAATTTTTGTAGAGGGAGGTCTTGCTATGTTGCCCAGGTTAGTCTTGAACTCCTCGCCTTAAGCAATCCTCCCACCTCAGCCTCCCAAAGTGCTGGGATTACAGGCTTGAGCCACTATGCCTGACCACCACCTTTTAGATTTACTCAGCAAAATTTCATGTAATCCCCAAGCCCACAAATGTTTCAGTGCAAGTGATACTATAGTACTAGATGAGGCAGTGGACTCAGAAAGGGAGGAAAAGTCATTATTATGTTGGGTTTCTGAGATATCTGCGAGTCCTAAATATCAAAAGAGATGGTGGAATTTCACTTTCTTTTTTTTTTTGAGACAAGAGTCTAGCTTTGTTGCCAGGCTGGAGTGCAGTGGTGCGATCTCAGCTCACTACAACCTCTGCCTCCCGGGTTCAAATGATTTCCTTGCCTCAGCCTCCTGAGTAGCTGGGATTACAGGCATGTACCACCACGCTTGGCTAATTTTTTGCATTTTAGTAGAGACGGGATTTCACCATGTTGGCCTGGCTGGTCTAGAACCTGGCTGGTGGACCTTGTGATCCACCCACCTCAGCCTCCCAAGGTGCTGGCTGGGATTACAGGTGTGAGCCACCGCACCCAGCCATAATTTTACTTCAAACTAATGCCCTCCCGCTCCAGTGTTTTGAAGGTGGTATTCTGAAGAACACCCTTGGCTTGGGTGTTCTTTACTCACCCTTCCAGAGGGGCTCCATGCTCTTCATCATCATCATCAGAATCAGAATCAGTTTCAGATGAATCATCATCATCATCATCATCATCATCATTTTCGCTAAAGCCCCATTGAGGTGTCAACTGTGAAGTCTTTTTCTTCTCCTGAGATAGGGCAGGGCAGGCAAAGAAAGTTCCACAAAGAAAAATCTAACGTACCTATGCCCAGTTCTCTATTGCTGTAACCAACATCCCACCCACCTGGCACCCAATCACCAGAAAAAGAAGGAGGCACTTCCCAGAAGGGGCTTGAGTGCCTTCTGCCCCTGCTCAGCTACAAATGGGGACTCCACTTTCCAGAACCATATTCCATTTCTCTACTTGAGGCTGGGGTATAAATTCCATCTAATTTTATCTATTGTACAGATTACCTAGATCCTCAGAGCTCAGCATACACTTTAGACAGCTTTGGCCCAAAAAGCTATGGACTTTCAAAGAAGAGGATGACAACTCTAATTATTTCGGAAGAAAATCAGGGAAGATGAAGAGGGAATAAAAACTTTAAGGGTCTTAATACTCACAAAGACCATAAAGAGGAAATCTAGTATTTAATTTTCAAGACTGCTCAGCATAAGCTGCTTGAAACTACCAAACGAAGAAAGTTCAAAACCAACCTTGTGCCCATCTAACCAGTAGTTTCTATGAACTTTCCATTTTTGTTCAGTGATATTTCTCTTCATGGAGTATCTGACCTATCTGTATTTCCCTTCCCTTACCCCATAAATTACATACAATGACTATACATTCTCTCTTAAGATAAGCAGCTCTTTTGTTCTTGTCATTATAACCTACCTTTCTGTGCTTCTGGCTCTCTCTGTACCATCTCACCTTCTCAAATGCAAGAGAAGGGGTCTGGTGGCATCTGGGACTTGCAGGGGCAGGTAGAACAGGGTCCATGTCTTTGCTTCTGTGGCCTGGAGCCTGTGGCATGCCCTCTCTTAGGACCTAAAGAATGACCAATAGGCTCCCTTTAAAAGTCGGCTTCCGGCCGGGCAACAGGGGATCGTGCCTGTAAACCCAGCACTTTGGGAGGCCAAGGCGGGAGGATCACAAGGTTAGGAGATCAAGACCATCCTGGCCAACATGGTGAAACACTGTCTCTACTAAGAATACCAAAAAATTAGCTGGGTGTGGTGGCCCATGCCTGTAATCCCAGCTACTCAGGAGGCTGAGGCAGGGGAATCGCTTTAGCCAGGTAGTTAGAGATGGCAGTGAGCCAAGATCATGCCACTGCACTCCAGCCTGGCGACAGAGTGAAACTCCGTCTCCAAAAAAAAAGCAGGTTTTCGAAGCTTGGTTTCTATATGCCATATGGCTTATACAGAGGTTAACACATGTTTGATTCCAGTTGTTTAAAATTAATTTTTTTTATGGTAAGGCAGCTATTGGCACACACAACTGTGACATGTTACAAGACACCAAAAACTGCTTTTGGTCACCTTTTGCTCTAAGAATAACAAATTTATTATACATAGATAAAAGTATATTCTAAGCTATAATATGCATAGCAGATAACGAAACAGTTGAAGAATTTATTCAGTGACTACACCTTATTAGTATATGATTGATAGAAACTTTCTAGAGCATTCTTTCTTAATTCGAGATTCGCCAAAATTATCTTTAGTCACATAGGAAGCAGTTTTGGCAGAGGGAACTTTTAAGAATATGGTCAGCCCAGGGTAGTGTCTCATGCCTGTAATACCAGCACTTTGGAAGGCCAAGGCGGGCGGACCACATGAGGCCAGGAGTTCGAAACCAGCATGGTCAACATGGTGAAACCCTGTCTCTACTAAAAATATAAAAATTAGCCAGGCATGGTGGTGAGTGCCTGTAATCCCAGCTGCTTGGGAGGCTGAGGCAGGACAATCGCTTGAACCCAGGAGGCAGGTCGCAGTGAGCTGAGATCACACCACTGTACTCCAGCCTGGACACCAGAGCGACTTCATTTGGGAAAAAAAAAATAATAATTTTGTCAATTTTTTTTTGAGACAGAATTTCGCTCCTGTTGCTCAGGCTGGAATGCAATGGCACAATCTCGGCTCACCGCAACATCTGCCTCCCAGGTTCAAGGGATTCTCCTGCCTCAGCCTCCCAAGTAGCTGGGATTATAGGCCTGTGCCACCATGCCCGGCTAATTTTTTGTATTTTTAGTAGAGATGGTGTTTCTCCATGTTGGTCAGGCTGGTCTCCAACTCCCAACCTCAGGTGATCTGCCCGCCTCAGTTTCCCAAAGTGCTGGGATTACAGGTGTGAATCACCACACCTGGCCTGTCAATTTTAAAGGTTATTCAAAAGTAGATCCTTTCTGTTGCTTCTAGGTGCATACCAAATTAGAAAGGTGAACCTTAAATACTGAGCACAGAATGAAGACTAGAAGAATTTAGGGTGATATACAAAATTTGGAGGTAAATTGGATAGGAAAATAGTTTACTTTTCCTCTTCCTCTTTAAAGTTGTACTTTGCAAAAACTCTGATATAAAAGCAGAAGCCTTCATATACTACAGACAAATGCCTAAGAAATGACCTTGTATATAAGACATTAAAACAGGACACTGTTCATATAGTGGGACCACCTTAAAATGTTCCTTTTAGGCTCTTTATTAAATCAGTCCATCACTACCGCTTTCCGTATTACTTCAAATATTTTTCACCTGTGATTCCAAAGTTCCAGTTCTTAAAAGACCATTAAAATGACTGGCTTGGTGTGGTGGCTCACACCTGTAATACCAGCACTTTGGGAGGCCGAGGCAGGCAGATCACCTGAGGTCAGGAGTTAAGAGACCACTGTAGCCAACATGGTGAAACCCCATCTCTACTAAAAATACAAAAATTAGCCAGGCAAGTTGTTGCTGGCCTGTGGTCCCAGCTACTCTGGAAGCTAAGGCATGAGAATTGCTTGAACTGAAGAGGTGGAGGTTCCAGTGAACCAAAATCATACCATTGCACTCCAGCCTGGGCAAAACAGTGAGACACCATCTTAAAAATAAAAGCAAACAGACCGGGCGCAGTGGCTCACAGCTATAACCCAGCACTTTGGGAGGCTGAGGCAGGTGGATCGCCTGGGCTCAGGAGTTCAAGACCAGCCTGACCAACATGGTGAAACCCCATCTCTACTAAAAATACAAAAATTAGCCAGGTGTGGTGGCGGGTGCCTGTCCCCAGCTACCTGGGAGGCTGAGGCAGGAGAATTGCTTGAACCTGGGAGGTGGAGGTTGCGGTGAGCTGAAATCATGCCACTGCACTCCAGCCTGGGCAATGAGAGTGAAACTCTGTCTCAAAAGAAAATAATAATAACCATTGGATAATGTGCTATGGCTAAACACAAATGGTTTTAAGAAAGCACATGTGTAACTCTAAGGTCCTAAATGTGTCTGGAGAGGTGGGCATCTTGCCATCTTTCTTTCAGAAGCAGGGTGATTCTCTAGGTTCACAGAATAATAGCAGTGAACATTTGGGTCTTAAGACCTCAAAATTAAAATTTCTTTCACAAAATATTGGCAGTATCACAAGTATTGACAATGAAAAAAATGCCCAGACTGACAATTTCAAACTTGCTTTAGCATAAGAATTACCTGGACTACTTTCTAAAAATATAAATTCCCAGGCTTTTACTTTTGAGATTCTGGGTGGGGGCTGGGAATCTGTATATTTAAAAATAAGTACCCCAGTTGACTCTTATGATCAGGAAAGTTTGTGAAACACTGGCTTACATTTTATGAAATTCCTCACCAAAGGCAGCTGTAATAGAGGCTTTATTCCTGAAGAAAAGTCAAAATCTCAAGGCTCTTTGCAACTGATTTTCCTCCATAAGCTCAAAGGTCCCTAACCACTGGAGGTGAGTGTTCAACAAATGTTTACTGTTGAACTGGTGTCATCTCTCACTACTGAAAACCTAAAGCAGAAATTCTACAAGGACCTGTGAGTTTGACTGTACCTTGCTATTTTTCTCTTCATACTCATCACTGCTGTTATCAGCCATGGCCTTGTTAGGAAGATGGGCAGAACGAGGAAGTCCTTAGAAGAAAAGATTTTCCTTTAGATTATTGTTAAAATGATTTTTAAAGACAAATATTTTTAGTTTGTAATATTTTATGCTCTAAATTTTTTTTTTTTTTAGGTGGAGCCTTGCTCTGTTGCCCAGGCTGGAGTGCAATAGCGCAATCTTGGCTCACTGCAACCTCCGCCTCCCGGGTTCAAGCAATTCTCTTGCCTCAGCCTCCCGAGTAGCTGGGATTACAGGTGCACGCCACCACGCCTGGCTAATTTTTTGCATTTTTAGTAGAGTTGGGGTGAAACTCAATCTCTTGACTTTATGATCCGCCCATTTCGGCCTCCCAAAGTGCTGGGATTACAGGCGTGAGCCACTGCGCCTAGCCATGCTCTAACCATTTTATGAAACAAGGCTTATCAGAACATCTAGCTATAAGAGAGGAGACTGAATTTTAGTCATGTTTCCGCCAATTCAAATCAAGATATATTTACTAAACATTACTGTGCTTAAGGCATTGGGTTAGACATTATACTAATCAAATTATCTGCCATTACATAAATAATATAAACTCTGACCAGGAGCAGTGACTCATGCCTGTAATTCCAACACTTCAGGAAGGGGAGGCAGGAGGATCACTTGAGCCCAGGAGTTTGAGCCTAGCCTGGACAATATGGCAAGAGCCTATCTACAAAAAAAGAAAAAAAATTAGCTGAGTGTGATGGTGTGCGCCTGTGGTCCCAGCTACTCGGGAGGCTGAAGCAGGAGGTCTGATTGAACCCAGGAGTTTGAGGCTGCACTGAGCAGTGTTCATGCCACTGCATTCCAGCCTGGGCAACAGAGAGAGAGAGAGAGAGGGAGGGAGGGAGGGAGGAGAAAAGAAAACCCTTTGCCCTCAAATGATTAACAACTAGTAAGATGCAGTGTGCTGAATTTATACTAAGACTGGGTTTGAAGATAAATTAGTTAAACAAAATGACTTAACTTCTTTGAGTCTCAGTATTCCCACCTCTCAATAGGGTCCTAATATTTGTCACCCAGGGGTCTTATAAGGATCAAATGAAAAAATATATGTGCAAGGAACTGACCCAGTGCCTGGGTCACAAATAATAGTCCCAAGTTTGAATCTGAATCAGTATGCAAAGATAAGAGAAATTAAAAGTACAATTAAGGCCAGGCCCAGTGGCTCACACCTATAATCCCAACACTCTGAGAGGCAGAGGCAGGAAGATTGCTTGGGCCTAGTTCAAGACCAGACTAGGCAACACGGTGAAACTCTGTCTCTACAAAAAATAAAAAAAATTAGCTAGGCATGGGGATATGGGCCGGTAGTCCCTGCTACTGGGGGGTCTAAGGCAGGAGGACTGCATGAGCCCAGGAGGTTGAGGCTGCAGTGAGCTGTGATCATGCTACTGCACTCCAGCCTGGGTGACAGAGTAAAACTGTCTCTATAAATAAAAAATTAAATTAAAAGTATAATTAGATGTAAGGTATTAGCTGGAATGAAAACATGATAAATTATTTATGTATCGAATAAATGCAAATTAAATAACATTTGTTTGGTTTACTCAATTAGCCCAAACTAAAAACAAGTTATAATGTCCCCAGCTATCAAGTGCACAAACATGCTCAAGGCAAAACCCTGGGTGGCTAGGTCCCAAGGAATGGAAAACAGGGACTTAAATGGACACTTACACACCTCTGTTCATAGCAGCGTTATTCACAACAGCCAAAATATGGAAACAACCCGAGTGTCCATTAACAGATGAATGAATTTAAAACGTGGCATATACATGCAATGGAATAGTACTCAGCCTTAAAAAGAAATTCTACATTCTACAACACAGATGAACCTTAAAAACATCACACTAGGCTCTGTACAGTGGCTCACACCTGAAATTCCAGCACTTTGGGAGGCTGAGGCAGGCAGATCATGAGATCGAGAGTTCGAGTCTAGCCTGACCAACATGGTGAAACCCTATCTCTACTAAGAATACCAAAAAAATTAGCTGGGTGTGGTGGTGCACACCTGTAATCCTAGCTACTCAGGAGGCTGAGGCAGGAAAATTGCTTGAACCCTGGGAAGCAGAGGTTGCAGTGAGTCTCACCACTGCACTCCAGCCTGGGCAACAGAGCAAGACTGTGTCTCAAAACAAACAAACGAAAAAACACACACACTAAGTGAAATAAGTCAGCCACAAAAGGGTAAATATAGTATGATTTCACTTATGTGGTTCCCAGAATAAGCAAACTGATAGAGACAGTAGAATAGTGGTTACCAGGGAGGAGTGGAAGCAAGCAGTTGGGAGTTACCGTTTGGGATGATCTGAAAATAGTGCTAATGATTACACAACATTGTGAATATACTTAATGCTATTTAATTGTGCACTTAAAAATTGTTAAAATGGCAAATTTTATGTTATGTATATTTCACCACAATAAACAAACAGAAACCCTGGATGTTATCCTTGATTCCTAACTCACGAGTTAAAACCAGTCCAGCAAGTCTTAGTGATTCTACGACCATCTGTCTGGTATAGCATTTGCCTCTTTTCCTTATTCTCAACTTCCTCACCAGAGGCCAAGCCACTATCATCTCAACTCAGCCATCCCAACAGTCCATTCCACACACGACAGCAACACAGCCTCCAAAGCTCTGCTTGTTATGCCTCCTGCCCTACCTCTCTGATCTGACTGTATCACACAGTAGAGTCCCCTCTACTGTAAACTGGTCTCTCAGGTCCTCAAACTAAGCCAAGTTCTTTCAGGCTTCAAGGTTTTTCACATCTCACATATTATTTCCTCTTCCTGGCCTACTTTTCCTCAGTGTCTGGATTCTTGCCATCTTTCAGTCTCACATAGCGCCCCTTTAGATCTTCCCTGATCACCCTATCAAAAGTGGGTCTCTGGCTGGGCGGGATGGCTAATGCCTGTGATCCCAGCACTTTGGGAGGCTGAGGTGGGAGATCGCTTGAGGTCAGGAGTCCAAGACCAGCCTGGCCAACACGGTGAAACCCCGTCTCTACTAAAAATACAAAAATTAGCTGGGCGTGGTAATGCCAGCTACTCGGAAGGCTGAGGCGGGAGGATTGCTTGAAATCAGGAGGCGGAGGTTGTAGCGAGCCGAGATTGCACCACTGCACTCTAGCTTGGGCGATACAGTGAGACTCTATCTCAAAAAAATGTGGGTCTCCTTCCTCACTGTTATTCTCCTTCACAGCAAACAATCTTCCTCCATCAGAGCACTTTCCACATTTGGAATTTGTTTACTCATTTGTCATTTGCCTCCCATGACTACAAGCATTGAGATAGCAGGGACATTGTGTCATTTAACACTATTTACCCAAGTGCCAGGCATAAGGCTGGCACATAGTAGGCATTTTAAAATTTTAGGCAAGATGGCTCACACCTGTAATCCTGGCACTTTGGGAGGCCGAAGTGGAAGGACTGCATGAGGCTAGGAGTTCAAGATCAGCCTCGGCAACATAGCAAGACCTCGTCTCTATAAAATTAAGAAAAAAAAAATTTGTTGAATAAATAAATCGTGTCCAGTCCTCTAAAAATATTTCACTGTGATTTGGGTTGGGGATGCAGGCTAAGGGCAGATTATGAAGCATCTTCAAAGCTGGGGAAAACATAAGTTAAAAAAAAAAAAAAGAACAGTGAATTCCTGGCAGATAGTGAGCAAAGCAGTAACATGAAGTAAATGGTGATAGGGTTGGATTGGGGGAAAATCCTGTAATTTGGAAGGCTATGATTTTTCCACCTTAACTAGTAAGAAAACAAACAATAGCAAGTGAAGTAACTTGACTCTGAAAAGTCAACATATGCTATTATAAAATAGGAACTTCGGCCAGGCGCAGTGGCTCACGCCTGTAATCCCAGCACTTTGGGACGCTGAGGAGGGTGGATCACCTGAGGTCAGGAGTTCAAGACCAGCCTGGCAAACATGATGAAACCCCATCGCCACAAAACTACAAAAAAAAAAAAAAAAAAAAACTTAGCCAGGCATGGAAGGATGTGCCCGTAGTCCCAGCTACTCAGGAGGCTGAGGCCAGAGAATCGTGTGAACCTGGCAGGCGGAGGTTGCAGTGAGCTGAGATTGCACCACTGCACACCAGCCTGGGCAACAGAGGGAGACTCCGTTTCAAAAAAATAATAAATTTAAAATAAAATAAAATAAGAACTTCTTGAAGACAACTGTGAATCCATCCTGTTCTTTGAGTACCATTTCTCTTCCTTTTCATTCCTTTCTTACCTTGGTGTCTTGGGGTTGGAGTATAAATACTTGCAACCTCTTCTGAGTCGTTAATCTCTAGACGCTCATCATATGTCTGGTTTTCAACAACCTCGGTCTAAGCAAAAGGAGACACGATTACATAGCTCCTATCATGGGACATTATATATTCCAAACCAGCATTGGCTCCTCTTCCTTACCCAAGAAACCAGTTTTTCATAAAACTGTCACCCCATCAAACTTTCCTTAAGGCTTCTTGGCCCCCGGTTAAGCAGTTAAGTCATTCTGTTGCAGCCCTTATTTAAGAATTGCTGGCAGGCTGGCTGAGCAACCAGGGAATCGTGGAGGGAAAGAGAGCCAACTTCTGCAGCTTGCCAAAGCTGTAAGACCACGCGCAAGGGCAGAACACTATTCGTAAGTCGATGGCCAAGGATGATGAGGTTTCTCCGGGGAGGCTGCAGAGGTCCTAGGAAGAGTTTTGTCTCTGGAGCCAGCTGTGGGGTGGGGTGGGGTGGGGAGGGAGGGACCCCAAAAAGAGGGGAAACTCCAGTCTCTCAGTCCGATCCAATAATCCCAAAAGCATCACCTCCACCTTCACCCTCGACTTGCAGATAAGATCCCACCTAAGTCTGGTGGGGAATAAAGGAAACAGGATGGTTGGTCACGGTGGCAAAGGAACAGTTATCATGGAGATGGGAAGAGGTAACCGGGGATGGGGTAAAGGGGAGTCCTCTTAAGCCCCTCTAGAAAGACAGTACCCTTTCTGCTGGGGTGAGTACTAATTACCTGTAGCCCCTCTGAATCCGTCTCCTCTATAATGGAAAGAACCCCAGCCTAGGGCTGGGGTATCACTCCAGTGTCAAAGTCGGGCCACTTAGATTCTACGCCGAGCAACTGCCTGTTTTCAGTCGCTAGGTAAAAAGGTTAAGTTGAAATTCGCGAGATTTGCTTCCACTCTCGTGAGACCTCCCGCACGTTACGCCTCACCCGCGAAGGCTGTCTACGCAGGAAGAAGATCCAGAGGGCACGAATAAAGCCTCTCTGGGCGGCCATGTCGCGTTTGTCTATGGTTTCAGTAAATGCGTCTGTTGCGGCATCTAGCGGCTGCGGATGGCAACGCCGGCTGATGAAGTTTCGGGCTCGCAGAGTTAGCTCTGCAATCTGGAAACTGAGTGCGTTTGTTTCACCCAGGGCAACAATCTCTGGGGGTGCAGTTCCTCCTAATCAGTCTTACCAGAATGTAGACACACTCTCCAGGGAAAATTCTGCAGCACTCTGTACAGCACTATGTTACAATATAGTCTCCCCCACCACATGGTGCCATGGCATGGCACATAATTATACTAATAAGTTATTCCTTGTGTATCTGAGGTTCCTTTTTTTTTTTTTTTTTTTTTTTGAGACGGAGTTTCGCTCTTGTTACCCAGGCTGGAGTGCAATGGCGCGATCTCGGCTCACCGCAACCTCCGTCTCCTGGGTTCAAGCAATTCTCCTGCCTCAGCCTCCCGAGTAGCTGGGACTACAGGCGTGCACCACCATGCCCAGCTAATTTTTGTATTTTTAGTAGAGACGGGGTTTCACCTTGCTGACCAGCATGGTCTTGATCTCTTGACCTCGTGATCCACCCGCCTCAGCCTCCCAAAGTACTGGGATTATAGGCGTGAGCCACAGCTCCTGGCCTCAGTGTTTTTTTGTTTTGTTTTTTGTTTTTGTTTGTTTGTTTTTTGAGACAGTCTCGCTCCGTCGCCCAGGCTGGGGTGCAGTGGCGCAATCTCGGCTCACTGCAACCTCTGCCTCTCAGGTTCAAGCAATTCTCCTGCCTCAACCTCCTGAGTAGCTGGGATTACAGGCACGCAACACCACGCCTAGCTAATTTTTGTTAGTAGAGACGGGGTTTCACCATGTTGGTCAGGCTGGTCTCAAACTCCTGACCTCGTGATCCACCTGCCTCGGTTTCCTAAAGTGCTGGGATTACAGGCGTGGGCCACCTCGCCGGGCTCTGAGATTCAAATTTAACTATGTGTCCTTTCTTATTTGCTAAAGAAAACTGAATTTATTTAAAGCAGGATTTGTGTCTAATTAATTTTTAAACTTTGTAACACCAGTACCTTGCAGAAATTAGACACTAAAAATGCTCCTTGGGTGGATGAATCAAAGAATAAGTGAATGGAGATGTAAGGAACAAATATTTTCAAACTATAGATATAATTAATTTGGGAAGTCAGGGAGAGAGAGACATAAAATACTGGAGGCCGGGGGTGGGGGGTGGCTCATGCCGGTAATCCCAGCACTTCCAGAGGCAGAGCTGGGAAGACTGCTTGAGTCCAGGAGTTCAAGACTAGCTAGAGCAACATAGCGAAAACCACCTTCGCCATTAAAAAAAAAAAAAAAAAGTACTTGGTGGCACGCACCTGTAGTACCAGCCACTCCGGAAGCTGAGGCAGAAGGATTGCTTGAGCCTGGGAGGCAGAGGTTGTAGTGAACTGAGATTGGGCCACTACATTCACTCCAGCCTGGGCGACAGAGCGAGACCCTACCTCAAATATAAATAATTAATAACGATTTTTGGCCGGGCGCAGAGGCTCATGCATGTAATCCCAACACTTTGGGAGGCCAAGGCCGGCGGATCACGAGGTCAGGAGTTCGAGCCCAGCCTGACCAACATGGTGAAACCCTGTCTCTACTAAAAATACAAAAATTAGCTGGGCGTGATGGCGCACACCTGTAGTCTCAGCTACCCAGGAAGCTGAGGCAAGAAAATCGCTTGAACCCCGGAGGTGAAGGTTGCAGTGAGCCGAGATCCTGCCACTGCACTCCAGCCTGGGCGACAGAGCAAAATTCTGTATAAATAAATAAAATGTTTAAAAAGAAAATAATATTGGAAATTTGACCCTGAAGACCTACCAGAGGAAAACAAGCAAAAGTGGCTTGAAAAATGAGAGACACCTTTTCTGGGATACTGATAGTTAAAAACGGAACTTGCATTAAAAAAAATTTGTGATCTGTTTTGCTTGTAATAGTGGATATGTAATGTGGAATACTTACTATGTAGGAGCACTTAGATTATATCATCTAATTTACTTCACAACCTTATGAGACAGATGTTACTACCAATTTACAGATTAGGTAACGGAGGCTTAGATAGTTAAAGAAACTTGCCTAAAGTCTCTTAGCTAATAAGTGCTGCAAATAGCAGCCAAACACAGGTCAGTCTGAGTCCTAAGAATCTGCTTTTGACTGTTACAATATACTGCTGCCATGGCACTCCTCCAGAAGCATGCTTGCAGGGTTGCTTTTTCTTCTGCGGTTTAATTCAGCTACGGTTATATTTCCAAAGAGTCAGCATCAGCCGGGAGCGGTGGCTCACACCTGTAATCCCAGCACCTTGGGAGGCTAAGGCGGGCAGATCACAAGGTCAGGAGTTCCAGATCCACCTAGCCAACATGGTGAAACCCTGTCTCTACTAAAGATACCAAAAAATTAGCCAGGTATGGTGGCGTGCACCTGTAATCCCAGCTACTTGGGAGGCTGAGGCAAGGGAATCGCTTGAACCCGGGAGGCAGAGGTTGCAGTGAGCCGAGATCGTGCCATTGTACTCCAGCCTGGGCAACAGGGCAAGACTTTGTCCACCCTTCCGCTCCCCCACCCCCCCAAAAAAATCAGCACCGGGCACGGTGGCTCATGCCTGTAATCCTAGCACTTTGGGAGGCTGAGGTGGGTGGATCACCTGCGGTCAGGAGTTCAAGACCAGCCTGGCCATCATGGTGAAACCTCATTTTTAATAAATAAATAAATAAAAAGAATCAGCATCAGTTGGTCTTTGCTAAGCTTTTGAGATCCAAGTTGGAAGCCCTGGAAGGTGCCACAATAAGGCAATAATTTCTAACAGGGTTTTTACTTTTCTAAAAAAAAAATAAGAACTTGTTCCATCTTTCTTAAAATATGTCTGCTTTTTATAACAAAAATTTAAATTGGGCCAGGCGCAGTGGCTCATGCCTGTAATCCCAGCACTTTCAGAGGCTGAGGGGGGTGGATCACCTGAGGCCTAGAGTTTGAGACCAGCCTGGCCAATATGGTGAAACCCCCATCTCTACTAAAAATACAAAAACTAGTCAGGCATGATGGTGGGTGCCTGTAATCCCAGCTATTCGGGAGGCTGAGGCAGGAAAATCGCTTGAACCCTAGAGGTGGAGGTTGCAGTGAGCCAAGATCAGTCATTGCACTCCAGCCTGGGGGATCATCTTAAAAAAAAATTAGTCTTGTGTGGTGGTGCATGCCTGTAATCCCCGCTACTCAGGATGCTGAGACAGGAGAATCGCTTGAACCTGGGAGGGAGAGGTTGCAGTGAGCAGAGATGGTGCTGCTTCACTCCAGCATGGGTGACAGAGACTCTTTCTCAAAATAAATAGCAAATTTATCCCATAAATGTGTACAGTTATCTTTTTTAGGACATTTCTTCATCCCCTAAAGAAACCTTGTACCCATTGTCAGTCACTCTTTTTTTTTTTTTTCTTTGAGACAGCGTCTCATTCTGTTGCCCGGGCTGAAATACAGTCACGAGACCTCAAGCTTACTGCAATCTCTGCTTCCCTGGTTCAAGTGATTCTCAAACCGAGTAGCTGAGACTACAGGCATGGGCCACCACACCTGACTAATTTTTGTATTTTCAGTAGAGATGGAGTTTCACTATGTTGGCCAGCCTGGTCTTGAATTTCTGACCTCAAGTGATCCCCATGCCTTGGGCTCCCAAAGTGCTGAGATTGCAGGCATGAGCCACAGAGCCTGGCCAATGTATGCAATTATTATGTGTCAATTAAAACATTTAAAAATATTGGCCGGGCTCAGTGGCTCATTCCTGCAACCCCAGAACTTTGGGGGGACAAGGTGAAAGGATTGCTTAAAGTCAGGAGTTCAAGAGCAGCCTGGGCAACATAGCAAGACCCCATCTCTTTTTAAAAAAATTTTTTATGGGCCAGGCGCAGTGGCTCAAGCCTGTAATCCCAGCACTTCAGGAGGCCGAGGCAGGCGGATCACGAGGTCAAGAGATCGAGACCATGGTGAAACCCCGTCTCTACTAAAAAATACAGAAATTAGCTGGGTGTGGTGGTGCACACCTGTGGTCCCAGCTACTCGGGAGGCTGAGGCAGGAGAATTGCTTGAACCCGGGAAGTGGAGGTTGCAGTGAGCCAAGATCACACCACGGCACTCCATCCTGGTGCCTACAACAGAGCAAGACTGTCTCAAAAAAAAATTTTTTTTTAATGATAAAAACTTTAAACTATAGTTTGACATACATACTTTCAGACATGTAAAGTTTAAAACTATTTGAGCTTTTTAAAGATTTCTATTAGTAGGTCATTAAAGATAGAATTTAATTGATATGGGTAGGAGGGAGAAGTCTGTAGTGCAGTGCTTAAGGGCATAGTCCAAAGTTGAACAGCCTTTGAATCCTTGCTTATCTAGTTTTTAGCCATGAGGCCTGTGGTGGGATAGTTTTCTTCTCTGTACCTTGATTTCCTCGTGTTTCCTCTGTTTCCTTGATTTCCTTATGACGCCTTGTGTAAAATGGAGAAAATAAAGGTACTTATCTCAGAAGATTCTTGTGAGGATGAAATGAGATAATCTGAGTCAAGTTAGAGTAATGCCCGGTACACTGTAAGTGTTCAATAAATGTTAAGGAGCACACGGGAGATACAGAGGCAGTGTGTTTTAATGGAAAAAGCTGACTTTGTCTTTTCATTTGTTTGTTTTGAGAGCAAGTCTTACTCTGTTACCCAGGCTGGAGTGCAGTGGTGTGATCTCAGCTCACTGCAACCTCCATCTCCTGGGGAAAAGTGATTGAACCTCAGCCTCCCAGATAGAGGTTCTCATGCCTCAGCCTCCCAGGTAGCCACCACACCCAGCTAATTTTTGTATTTTTAGTAGAGATGGGGTTTCACCATGTTGGCCAGGCTGGCCCACCTCAGCCTCCCAAAATGCTGGGATTACAGGTAAGAGACACCACACTCAGCCA